GCCATCCCAAGTGCCACCCCATTAACCTTCCACTCCGTCTTTTCAGAGGCTGTAGCAGGCTCCATTTTAAGGCTATAGTAAAGATAATGGTATCATAATAAACTACCTCACGCATCTATTGGTATCAACCATGTCATGAAAGGCTAAATAACACCCCAAATTTAGGCTAAATTCTGGTGATGGAAAAAGGGGTCCCTTGGCCTCTGACCTTTAAGATATCTGAATGAATTGGGCCTATGGGTACCCACAAGTCTGCTCTTTGCAGAGATGCCCACTATGCTAATCCATGCAGTTTAGGGCAAAAACATTGCTTAGATTTTTTGCATGTGGTATAATTGTGTTACTCTCACCTAGTGTATTTGAGTATTTCTGCATACTGGGGTCCATAAACAGTGTTGGATCTGCATAAAGTGGGAATGACTGGAAAGCTGAGATATATATGTCATGCCACCCCTGCAGACGTCAGTGCGCCACTGCCACCACAGTCAAAAAAGTCTGGAAACGCCCCTGCATACAACATGAACACAGCAGTGCCTGTGCAGGGTTTGAGGGGTTACAGTAAATCAGACAGTGAAATACCTCAGTGGGCAACAATGTCCTCCTCCATCATCTCTGCTTTGACATAGTGTCTGCCAGAAGAGAAGAGCTGCTCCTCTACAGGCTAGTTATAAAGTACAATATTACAAACCGGGATTAGACAGCCTGTTGTTGTTTATCCCGCCTGTGAAAGCTGCTTGTCGGGTGGCATCCCATTCTTCCATGGGTACTTCCACTTAATCCGGTTGAATGATTGGATAAACGGGAACATAATGACTTATAAATTATTTACCGTCATCACTCGCATTCCTCAGACAGCAGGGTTGACTGGAGAGAGCGTGGATTTTAAAATATCTGAGTATATACCATCTTTATGGGGATGTTTTATGATGATTTATATACATATTCTATTTAGGCCTTTGACAAACATTAGAGAATTATCTCAAATTTTATATAGTGTTACAATTATTGTCATTAGCCACACAGTCGGCTCATTATTATCGTGCTGTTGTGATAATGTGCTTATGACACTTTAGGAGCAGCTCTTCAAGTGAAATGTCGGTCTGACCCTCTGTGGAAACAGGACATGTTGACTTATTTGCTTATTTCTGTGTTTATCTGTGTGTGTGTGTGTGTGTGTGTGTGTGTGTGTGTGTGTGTGTGTGTGTGTGTGTGTGTGTGTGTGTGTGTGTGTGTGTGTGTGAGCGAGTGATGCTGCTTCCCCATGACGTCATGTCCGCTGACACAGAAACGGCCCAGAAATAGCGGTGGGGAGTGGTGGATGGGTAAGAGGATTGGGAGCAGATTAGAGCCAGTGATTGCAGTGGGCCTGTCCCTCCCAGCGCTGAGTCCCGGCATGTTCAGTCCAACAGACTGGACAGAAGATTAAACCCCCAGTAGTGAGGGAAACTGGGACGCGGCTCATCAACACAAGTGACAGAATATTTTGAAACACTCGATTCTGTCTCACAAAACAACAGTTTGATTGACACCTCAGGAACTGACTCATCTCTCTCTCTAATCAGTTCAACCTCCCATTATTGATTGTATTACAGTATGTATGCTATCATTTGCTGGTGTGATCACCCAGAGAAATGGTTGAATCATTAGTGGCCCAATCATTTTTGTCTGTGGGCTCCCTGGGTTAATTCGGCCGTGCTAAAGTCAACATTATAACAGACAGCATCAGAATCAGAATCACATTTATTTGCCAAAATAAGCTCCCTCCAGTCAGATGCAATAGTACAAAACCGACACCCAAAATGTGTTCTTATTAACAGCTTATATATATTAAACCCCCCTCCAGTCAGAAATCAGTGTTCCTTCTTGTTCCTACAGTGTGATGTTTGAATGCTGTCTGTGCAGAGTTTGACACTAGAAGGATGTTTTCACATTCATCTGCTGAAAGTGGAAAGTTTCTGAGCTCATTGAAAAATCTGATTGAAATAGTTTGGAATTCAACTCTGGTCCAGTATGCAACTTCTACAGTGTGATGTAGAAACTTGAAGCCACCAGTGCATAATAACTGCAAACACAGCCTGTGTATTTCAAATTTTGAAATTTATAAAATTATCTAAGCTCAAAGGTCTACTTACTAGCTTTTCAGAGCTGTCAGTTGCATCTCAGCTAAAGCAGCTAGCTCAGATGTAGTGCCAGCTCCAGCCTAGGTGGCACCCTGGGTGAGATCCATTTAGTAAGTGCCCAACAGTGCCACTACTATAAATACTTTGAGAAAGGCCACTTGCGTAAACAGAGAACTTCCTGTAATAATTCAGCTAATGGGATTTGTTTTGACTATCCAGAGGAAATGTGGTTTGGAGAGTAGCTTAAAGTAAAAAAGTCAGACACTATACAAATGACCTTTCTTGAATCTGTGTAGAACAGCTCATATAAAAGAACAGAAGGTCTTTAACTTTCAGAGGACTGATGAAGGTACCTGTTGTATGTAAAATTACATATATACTTGTGCATCAAAGAACTGGAGACGGTAGATAAAACACACATTCCTGCTGCCGGTGGCCATATTTAACTGTCTTGATGAGAAATTCATCAGGTCTGGGTGTGCAGGCAAGGCATTGCTTGCTTGATGGAAACATGAGGGATGGTAAGATTCCCCAATTAGCATCGGTGCACTGGCATAAAAGATGTGATTGCCCCACTTAAAAATCTTTTGGTATTTGGGATATCTTTGCATCGATAAAAACGTTTCATCCATATACAATTATTAGTTGAGGCCCTCAGGTGTGTATCTAGATCTGATTGGCCACCCCATGGTTTAAAGCTAAGTTCAATTAAATTTTATTTGTATAGCGGCAGTTCATAGAACACATCAGGACACTTTTCAAATAGAGTAGGTCTAGACCGAACTCTATATAACATTATTGAGACCCAACAGTACCACCATGAGCAAGCACTTGGCAACAAGGGCAAGGAAAAACTGCCTGTTAAAAGGCAGAAACCTAGGACAGATCCTTCGGCTCTAGGTGGGTGGTCGTCTGTCTCGACCAGTTGGGGTGAGAGAGAGAGAGAGAGAGAGAGAGAGAGAGAGGTACAGAGGTCAGAGGTAACGACAGAAGGACTGAGACAGAGACAAAGGTGCACAGCAACAACAGTAGCAACAACTACACTAATAGTAGTGACTGATGATGATGATGATGAACATGAAGAAGGTGATGATGACGACAACAACAACGATGGAGGACAATGAGCAGTGATTATAGTAATAATAGTAACTGTACTAATAATAATAGCAATAATAATAATAACAACAATAATATCAGTGATATTAGCAATGGGAGTCAAGCAGGACCATGGCAGGAGGCTCCACCAGGATCCATGAGAACCTGCGAGATGAGAAAGCACAAGAACTCTGGAGAAAAAGTGAAGTTAGTAACATGCATTAATGACATGAATGAGTGCAGAAAGAGAGGGAGAGGAAGAGAAGAGCTCAGTGCATCATGGGAAATCCCCCGATAGTCTAGGCCTATAGCAGCATAACTAAGGGATGGTTCAGGACTCACCTGATCCAGCCCTAACTATAAGCTTTATCAAAGAGGAATGTCTTAAGCCTACTCTTAAATGTGGTGAGGGTGTCTGCCTCCCGAACCACAACTGGAAGCTGGTTCCACAGGAGAGGAGCTTGGTAACTGAAGGCTCTGGCTCCTGTTCTACTTTTAGAGACTATAGGAACCACAAATAGCCCTGCTACTATCCTGCTATCTACTAAGTGAAGATACTGGTATCATATGAGACTACATGACGCATTCATTGGTACCAATCATAGCATTCTAGCATGTCGGTGAAGGGGCTAAATAACGTTTCAAATTTAGACTACATTTTGGTGATGGAAAAACTCTGACCTCAAGATATCCGACTGAAAATGGGAAAAACCCAGGAGTCTCCCCTTTGCAGACATGCCCACTTTATGCTAATCCTATGTAGTTTTGGGCAAACACTTTGCAGTTATTTGCATGTGGTGTTATAAATGTGTTATTTTCACGTATTATATTTGAATATTTCTGCAGACTGGGGTCCATTAACAGTGTTGGAATTGTAAAATTTTGCCACACCTGCATAAGTCAGTGCCCCTAGAGGCCCTATGCCTTTATTATTTAGAAATGAGATGAATAATATGTTACCGATAATGTTATATATTTAGATTGATTCATCCTCTCTAAACTGTTTCTCAAGCTGCTTAAGAGAAACCAGATAAATAAATCAAACTATATGTACCATACTGAATTGCATAGCATCATATTCTTTTGCATCACATCGTATTGCATTGTGTTGAATCAAATCGTGTCTAATTGCACTGTATCACAATAGATGTTAATGGTATCATATCGCAGTGGTAGTTGCTTCATATGTATCTTAAATGTATGGGATTGTTGGCAATGCATTGAGATAAACCTTCCGATCTTAAACATAATTTATTGACAACATGGAGGGCACTTTAGTCTCCACAATTTGCACATATTATTACGTTATTTTGTTTCTATCTCTTGCTCTCTCCCCATCATGAGCTCCTTCAGGTCATCACATATGGAACTTTGCTCCATCTAGCCTTGAAGAGAGTTTTATTTGTCTAGATTTTGGGGTTATCTGCTGATTTAACTTTTGCCACTTCCCCAATACAGTGGAGGCTTGACATTGCAGAAACAATGGCATGGTTACACAAGGTAATCAGTCAGTTGAGTCAGTGTTACTATGCTGACTGTATCACTAACTCAAACAGCTGGCTGCTGAAAGTTACCCTGTTCACTCCATGGTTCACTTGTGGGTCACATGCTTTATAATGCTGTGAGATTCTAGTGCAGTTCGACACTCATACCTGCAGCAAGAAAACAGGGTTTATAAAAATCAAGGAAATCAACAGTGGTGCTGGATCTAACAGGAAACTTTTGAGAAGGATTTGTGTTTTATGTTGAGGTCTTGACTGAACTGTAATCTTTCCTCCTTTACAGAGATAATGAATGATGTCATCAAGAAGGCAAGAGAGAAAGGAAAATGGAAGGTAATGGTCCTGTTATTCTGAACATCACTCCTCTGTGATCTTGACACTGAATATGAATAAAATCACTGAAGTTGTCAAAATAAAGTCCTTCCAATGGCTCCTGCTGTGTGTGACTTTGTTATAGGTGCTGGTGGTGGACAAGCTGAGTATGAGGATGATTTCTTCCTGCTGTAAGATGACAGACATCATGTCAGAGGGAATCACCAGTAAGTAACCACCCAGGTTCACTTCAGCTGTAGTTTTGAATTCAGTTTAATCAAATTAAATGTATCTAAATGTAATTTACTTAATTGATCAAATTATGTATCAAAACCCACTACTATGTGGATGATTCATTCCTAGAATTAATTCAATTTAAATACTTATGGGTATCCATGCAAGGAAAGTGAAAGAATGGCGGAGGAAAGATGCTTTGTTGAAATAGTGGATCACATTAGCTTGTACAGCTTAAATATGTGTACATATTCATACTTTTTAATGCATTTCATGCATATTTTAGTTCCTTTAAAGGAATGGTTTGTTTACTATCCTAGAGTGAGTTGTGAAAATGTATATATCTGCCTGCCTCTGATGACACTACTAAACCAATTAACATGTTGTATATCTATATCTGACAACTTGTGGTTTTATGAAGGGTTACATGCTGGAACTATTTTTTAACAGCTTCAGCGCCATCAGCTCATGCGTCTCCGTGCGTACAGTTCTGCTTGTGAGGACAGGTTCAGGACTTCAACAGTCACTTCACATGGCTATTATTTGTCAAGCGATAGTCCCTTCATGTCACTCCAACAACAAATTGTCCTTTTTAACATTTCTCTTTTTGTATTTACATTAAGTTAATTGGTCTACTTTACAGTTGTTGGCAGGCATTTTTTCACTTTGGACAGAGCCAGGCTAGCTGGTTTCCAGTCTGCTAAGCTAAACACATCCTGGCTCCATCTCAAGTGTGAACTGTCGTTATGTTACCCATTGCTTTGTGCTTTTTTTGAGTACCGTTTTGAGGCCTCAAGTTCAGCATACTGCAAGTTGAGCAGTGCTCATTGGCTGCATTTGATTTTAACTTATCTTTAGCACGTTCTCAAATTACACATAAACAGTACACTAAAATAAGTCTGAGAAGATTTTAATATAAAATAGCCAAGCTGTAAAAGGTTTTTGATTCATATTTGATCAGCACTGCCTAGTTTGACAGTTTGATCTGAGTTTGGTGCGTTGAGCTGGACGGACTCACTGAGAATGAACCACAAGGTAGCCATGCCCTAAGAATACCCTGCTTTATCGTCTATTTTACTCTAAATGGGACCATCATTTATTAAATGAACATCATGCTGTATGGAAGAATACTGAAACTAGAGATTGACACCATAAACTCATTAGGAAACTATTTACTGAACTCATAAATCAAGTGAGAAATAGACTCACTAATTTCTCAGTTTTGTAGTCCATGTCCCCTGCTGGCCATTAGAAATAATGCAGTTTTAAGACTGCAGAATCCATTACAGTCATGGCATGTACAACTTGTTGGATATTATCCTTATTCTCAAGACTAGAGAATAGCAGTGTGCTCCATGGTATATAATAACTGTTCCTGTGAAGATAATGTTAATGTTACATATCAATCCCTCTCTCCCGCTCCCTCTGTCACTGACACACAGATCTCTCTCACTCCCTCACTTTTAACTACCTTAAATTAAGTTGAAGAATTATTATACCATCCATAGTTCCCTCACCTCAAATTTTCTAAAATCAAATAATGTAACTTATTTTGTTTCATTTCATTTCAGGGTGTTTTAGTAAGCAGCTAATATAATGTTAGTCAATTATAAATGTACTCTCTTCAAATAGAGCAGGTCTATTAGATTATTTACAAAGTGTTCTGAGATAACTTCTGTTATGATTTGGTGCTCTACAAATTAAACTGAATTAAAGGAGTTGGTCTAGAAAGCAGAATGAGACTAAAGCCCTGTCAGCAACTCCTAAACTGAATCACTACACCCTACATACCAGGATTTACATACATTCCTGGCACTGATAAACAGAAGTATTAAAATGGTTTGGATGCTTACTTTTTCAAAGGGTTTAAAACAGTAATAATATTTCAAACTTGATACGACCTTTGACAGAGCATCCGTCAGTTTTTTGAGAAACAAAAACCTCAAAACGTTCTATCCCAGTTCTGCATTAAACACTGACTGATCTGAGGTCATGTGTTCAGGAGAGCATATCTAGTCTAATCAAGCTGATAGATGAGTATTGATTCTAACTGTTTGCCTGTGTTCTCCAGTTGTAGAAGACATAACCAAGCGGCGTGAGCCTCTGCCCAGCATGGAGGCCATCTACCTGATCACACCCTCAGATGAGGTAAATGATCCAGCTCCTGTATAGGCTGGTTATAATTCTATGGTACAGCACATAATAGTCTCTCATTGATGTCTCATCGGCTTTCTTTGTCCTACAGTATTTTGCAGTTTTGTCCAGCAACTGAGAAAAGCCAGTTTATTGTCATTTGAATTCTTCAAAATACATTTCCAATGGGGTTAGTTTGCATGGTGGGGTGATACAGAGTACAATTGTTGTTCTTCTCAATGTCACGTTAAATAAATTAAACATGCTGGATTGTTATTCAGTATTTCTTTCCACTAACTTTTAAACAGAGTGAAGAACTGAATTTGTAACCTTCACAGTTCGTAAGTTAAAACATTGTTCTCTGCTGTTTCAGTCTGTTGAGGGTCTGATTGAGGACTTCAGAGACCCGCAGTCTCCGAGGTACCGAGCAGCTCACGTCTTCTTCACCGACAGTGAGTAGATCCACTCAACACCAGCAAAATACTTACTATACTACAGACTCCTTGAACATATAGTTTTTTCCTTTGAAATACACAAATCCAGTCCACCTGTTAGGAGGTGCTTGTGCTTTAACCATACCAAAAAAGGTTTTTTAAAAAAGCTAACATGTAGGACAAGAATGAGGCGATATGATATATATCAAATACAGGGGTTACAATTCAGTATATTGTGATATCCCTGTAACATCCAACATAATAACCCTCAGTTTACGTCTTCAACACTGCTATCTAGTGGTTGGGGGTTTAGGTTTAAACACCAAAATCAAAAGTGTTTTTGAGAATCAATACAATATCACAGAACAAAATACAATGTATCAATAGTTAATAACATATAGCTCATAACAGTGGGAAAAAGCACAGAGAACAACCTGATTCCTGTAGGCAGACTGCCTAATCATAATTATAATGTTTGACATAAAACTACATATTGTTCAGTTAGTCTCTCTCTTACAAAACTATCCTAAAACAGATTTCTTTGTCGAAAAGTGGGCACAACTGGAGTGTGTGGCTGTCACTGAACTAGACCTCACAAGTTAAAATCTTGAATTCATTTTTCAAAACTAATTTGAAAGGGGTCAGACATGATCTGAATAAACTCCTGAATAGACCCTTTCTAAACTTTGGTGGACCTGAATAGACCCAAACATTGGAGGCAGCAATTAACAAGCAGCCTTGGTTGCAAAGAGCACTTGACTGCCTCAAAAAACACATTGATTGATTACAACACAGTGCTTAATCAGAGCTGAACGTGACCCTGCTCATATCCACTTTGGCCACTTTAAGCCTGACATCAAGCCTGTGTGAAAAAAAATAATTTTCTCGTTAATTTGAATGAGACCATTCTGTTGACGGCGTGCAGATGCAGATGGCTCCAGCAAAAACAAATTGAACCTGGCTCAAATTATCATCAGCATCATCCGGCAAGGCACTGAACACATTCTTGGACGAGGTCTTTGTAACATGAACAGCATGTATTTACCTGGGAGTCATTGTGATGAAAGACTGATTGCTTACTTTCTACTGTTGTAAAATCCTTCCCCATAGTATTACAAAGCACTGTGCAGGGTTTTGGTGATAACTAGGGGGTGTAAGAAAATATCCATACACTTGTTTTGTTTTGTGATATTGTATCAATTCTCAAAAACAGTGTATCAGTTCTTGTGTTTAAATCCCCAACCGATAGCAATGCTGTAAATGTAAACTCAGGGCTAAGCTGTTACAGGGACTGTGATAAATACTATTACAGATCCAACTGTTCTGGTTGCATAAAAAAGTCAAAGAAAAATTACTCAGATTTTATGTATAAGGTGGTGGGGGTTTTATATTTAAGTTTTTTTATACATTTAGTTATATATTTAGAGTTTTTTTTTATCAGACTCAACAAAGTTCTTCCAGAGTCACAGAAGACATTTTACAACTCATTTCACAGGTTATGTAGCACTCCCTGTGAGTATTAAACTGACTTTTACTGTATGTCTAACATTAGTTAAGAGGAAAAGACCCTATTTTCTCTACTAATATTTGGTAGATTCAAATTCAAATTTAAGAAAGTAACAACATTCAAGACTGACATAATGTTAACATTCTTTTGTCTAACTCTCTCAGTTACCATGTTTTTATGTGAATCTCGACAGCCATCCCCGACTCGTTGTTTGGACTGCTGACCAAATCCCGCGCCTCCAAAGCCATGAAGGCCTTGACTGAGATCCACATCGCCTTTCTGCCCTATGAATCTCAGGTAAGACACTGTCTAGACTGGGATTAGACCGTGGCAGCGGCTCGAACCACCAGCCTCTGATACGATGGACGAGGTTTGGAAGTATTTCAGTCAACTCTGTTTAACATCTGCAGATAAACCTGCTTCTCTCTTGTTGCTCTGAATGGAGTTTGTTTTCATTGTTATTGTTATTATTTGAATCCTGTGTGTGTACTGTATCACAAAAGGAACTATATGAACATTTTGGTCATTCTGCATCCTCTGTGTGCCATGCACAGATCTCTGGTACACAAGCTGATCACCGTGACTACAACATGTTCTGTTTAAATTACAGCATCCCTGATACACATATTAAATATAATCCAGTGTTACTGCTGCTGTTGGTGAACACAGCTGGACAGCTGTTTGCAAGCATCCCAAAGTACAAGCAAATAAAGTGGTTTGTGTGGGCCCCTTTGGCCGCCACAGGCCCCCATAGATCAAAATGTTCAGATGACAAAGTTAGTCCACCATGTTGAACTGCCATTTTTCTACAGTAGCCCAGAAAGGACAAACCAAACACTGGCTTTAGATAGGGCCTTTTCCTGTTCAGTTTAAGTTTCACAGCCACCGTACCCTCTCCTACACACTTGGAAGGGGGGGGGATGCAGCAACCACACTGCTAGATGCCACTAAATCCTAAACACTGGTCCCTTAAGGGATCTCAAAGATAACATTATTGTGTTTAACAGCCAAAACCTGAAGTGTGTCCACATGTCGTAGTCCAAGATCAAAATAAAACCCAAGTGATCACAGTGTGCCGGGTAGACGCAAGACCAGACTAATGGCATTAAGGTGAAACTTTTGCTAAATTGTGCGCATGAATTATTGATTTGAGAACAAATATCATTAAATCTTGTACACAAATGAGTTTTTTTTTTTTGTCTTTCTCAGTGAGACCTCTTGAAACTCCTGAGAAAAATATATTTTCTTTATCGACTCTTTAGCTCCTAAATGCTTCACTGCGTTCATCAGCTAGTCTGCTGTTTGGTGATGGACAAGTAGTATACAGTGGGTTTATCAGAGCTTTTTCACTGAAGAAGGGCACTGAGACTGAACTTAAACAGTAAAGTTCTAGAACATAAAACCAAAACAATTATCTGAAGGACACTAAAAAACTCAATAGAGCAGAGGGGAAGTGCAATGTGACTATGGATTTTTTAGCTGCACAATTGTAACCATACTTAAACCACACTGTGGTCAGCATGTGTGGATATTGTGGGAGCAACATCCTTCCTGTCAACTTAAAAAACATTGGCATTATTGAAAGTATTCATCAGAAGAATTATCCAGTGCTCTGTTGGCCAAGTGGGTTGGCAACTTTGAAAGAAAAGCCTAAATTAGAATATAAAGGTAGGAAAACAGCAGCCACCTTGCTGTGCGATACAGACACAGTTCCTGAACGGAGGGAGGTACAGTGGTGAAGAGGACCACACCGGCTGCATTTTGTGTTGGATCAGCATTAGCCTTCAATCCTCTGCTGTTGTCCTGCAGTTTTAATCCGGAGAGGGAGGGACACATCATACCAGCCCTACCCCCCTTCCCTCCACTCATCCTTTTACCTCATTGGCTGACGGAACCAGTGCTCATGCTCTGCAGCCAATGGGAGCGCAGATAAGATGTGTGACAAGAGAAAGCGCAAGGATTTTTATCATGTGATGGAGTCAGTAACAGATGGGTGCATGTATACGTGTGTTAGTGTGTGTATGGATTTAATTAGTGTCAGCTTTTGAGTGCCAGTTCCAATACTGTGCGACACAAGCTTCTGATGGCCAATAAATTTGGATTTATTATTTAGCTTTAATCATTTAGATCATCATAAAAGACTAAAACTCTTTATCAAAGCTGAATATGGTATATTATAACCGATAATAAATCCATCCTTGCTGATTGGATCAATCAGGTTAAGGTTGCCCCATATAGGCAACCAGTGTAGCATTAATCAATTTTGAGTCCCTCTCCACCCAGAGAAGAAGAAGACGACATTATTTACATATTCAAATTATAAGAATTATTATTTTGATGTAAAAAATATTATTTTTTTGCTGGAAAACTGACACACATTTTTGCTTCAAGCTGATTATTTGTATATATGTTTAGAGGGGATCAAGCCCAGATAACTATTATTTCCTATTTCCTTTCTTATTGCATTAAGATCATCAGAACACTAAAATTCTGCTGAGTATAATAAAGTATATCAATGCGTACATTTATGAAGGTGAGACTGGACCTCATTTAGTCTCTCTGTCATGTCCTCTGTGTCCAGGTCTTCTCCCTGGATAAAATCGATGCCTTTCAGGACTTCTACAGCCCCTTCAAGGTTGACGTGAAGAACAACATGCTGGAGCGTTGCGCTGAGCAGCTCGCCACCCTCTGTAACACTCTCAAAGAGTATCCTGGAGTCCGATACAGAGGGTGAGACAGCAAAGGAAGCCCATTTAAATAGTCTTTTTTTGTTGTTGTTTTGCTTTTAGTCTTATAATAGCATTGGTGTGATAGGTGATATCATCAAGTTTTGCAGGAACAGACCTCTCGTCATATTGACATGTTTCTTAGAAATATTACACTCCCATCGCAGTTTAACCACAACTACAGAGTGAAGCAGGCCTTTATTTGGAATGGGCTTTTTTTTGAGCTTCCTTAATTTCTAAATTACCCCATTAATATAAACTCACAATGTCTTCCACCCATTTCTCCCCTCTAATAGAAACAATATTTTCATTCACTAGCTTTTTACATTTCCAGTCACTACCAAATTACATTTTGTGGATGGCTGTTCACACTGTTCATTTTATTTCCAACAGTAACTGGGTGATGCTCATGTTATGGCCTTTTAGGCTTTAAACATGGGAAAACCCTGTACCCCTGGTAAAAAAGTTCCATATAGCATGAAGCCCAGCCAGTTTACTGGAGTACTACTCCAGAATAGCAGTATAACATCATGAGTTGGGTTTTGCATTCAGTTTTTCAGGTGTTTAGTCTGATTTGACAAATTACAGGGATATTTGAGTCCTTATAGAGTTCTACACAGAACCACTGAAGAACCCTCTCTGTAATATATGTTTTATACCACTGGACATCTCTACTCAACTGCTTTAAGTTCATGTTTGAATGAGTTTGTAAAACTTTAGGTACAGTTTAATAACAGTACTAATAAAGTAATAATATCACTTTCCCAGTAACTAGTAGTGTAACTAATTACTAATACATTTCAGTAATAACATCACAGTTACCTCCCCAAAAAGAATTAGTTACAACCTTGTTTTTGTTGTCACTCTCCTACTGATCTAAATAGAAACTTACATTTACAATTACCAATTTTGTGGGGAGTGAGAGAAAAGTAATATGACTAGTAGTGTCACTACTAGTAGTGTAACTAACAGTGATCATCAGCATGTTCAGGATAAAAAAACATTTTTGTACGGTGCTGTATGTGTGTGTGTGTGTGTGTGTGTGTGTGTGTGTGTGTGTGTGTGTGTGTGTGTGTGTGTGTGTGTGTGTGTGTGTGTGTGTGCTGGTTCAGGGAGTACAAAGACTGTGCGGTTCTGGCTCAGATGCTTCAAGAGAAGCTGGACGGCTACAAGGCTGATGACCCCACCATGGGAGAGGTAGGGAAGTGGAGCTAAATGATTACTTGATTGCTTACAGACCCTTTCAAATAGAGAAATTCATTAGTAGTTAAAACTATGGCCTCTTATTATTCTGAATAAATTATTCATTTAACACATGTTATGTTTCTTAAAATGATGGGAAGTCTGTGGTTGGCAAAAGATCAGACTTAACTGGATCCTGTGTAATTTAGCAATATTGAATGACAAACTGCAAGTACAATATATCAGTCCTTCACCTTGTGCGCAGTGTGTTTGAGTGTGTTCTGATGCCTGCAGGGTCCAGACAAGTCTCGTACTCAGCTGCTCATTCTGGATCGTGGCTTTGACCCTGTGTCACCCCTCCTGCATGAGCTCACATTGCAGGCCATGGCCTACGACCTGCTGGGCATCGAGAACGACGTCTACGGGTAAAGGCTCAGTGCTCCTCTTTTTTTAATATTTTTATTTTATTTTGTTGTTCGCTTAGTTTGGGTTGTGTATTTCGTTGGTGACACTGTCTTCAGCTTCACTCCCCAACATCAGGTTAATGCTGCAGTAGGTAAATTAATTTTTTTTTTTTTAACTTAAATGAAACTTGATCCTGACAGTAGTAAATGACACAGATAATCAGTATTAAAAAAAAATTGGTTCCTCTGGCTCCTCCTGGTGCTCCTAATGGCATTTACAAGAACCCACCGGGCCTGAACGAAAACAACCAATAAGAGCAATTATCTTTTTTGATAAAAAAAAATTGCTTTCTTTATCAAGAAAGATAGAGGAATGAGACTCAACTCTCTTTTTCGTTACCTACTGCTGCTTTAATTCTGAAAAATGCTTCAATAAACTAACTGTTTTAAACTGTATTACTGTGCACTACAGAAAGATGAAAAATTCTTTAGTGTCGATCTGCATTAGAAAAACATTTAATTCCCACTGGCATATTATTGTATTTACTTTAACAAACAGACTCTCTTTCTAAGATACACACATACAGTCTGTCAACCTCTCTGTCTGTCTGTCAGGTTTGAGACCAGTGGGATGGGAGAGACGAGATTGAAGGAGGTAGTGCTGGATGAGGATGACGACCTGTGGCTGACTCTGAGACACAAACACATCGCTGAGGTGTCAACGTAAGTGGCTCTGACTCAAATACAAACACTTGTGGCGCGGATAAACAACCACATGGGCAACTTCCTCTGTCACAAACCTGCAGCTGTGTCATAAAGCTGTCTATCACAGCACAGGGAGCCGTCTCACTTTTCATTTATCGACACGTTATTTTCTTGTCCTTTTCTGTCTGCACAGGGCTGTGACTCGCTCTCTGAAAGAGTTCTCTGCCAGCAAAAAGTTGAACACTGGAGAAAAGGTAGAGGACACACTTTATCACTCTGCTCCGGTTTCAGGATCTGTTACTGTGTTTCTGCTTCCAGCTGTCCTTCTCACAGTCACATAAAGGTGGACAGAGAGACAAAGTATCGTGCAGATGTACTGAACTTTAATTTTAGAAAACACTAGAATACATTGATGGTGTGTATATCTGAGAATTTAGTCTCCACTTAAACTTGTTAAAACTTGTTAGAACTGGCCACCCCTGAAATCTAATTGGCCACCCCATTATCCTTACCTTTTTCTGTAGCAAGCTTTGTTTTAAAGCTAGAGTGAAAATACTTTATCATATGAAATTAGATATGACACATCAATTGGTACCAACCATGTTGTGCTAGCATTTTGGGAAGGGGGCCGAATAACGCTCCAAAGTCAGGTTAGATTTTGGTGTTGGAACATGGCATGGCCAGTTTCACTGTGTTGTGAAGCTAACAACAAAACTAAAGCCCCAAAAGAACCCGGTGTGCTGTTACTTATTCATGCCACAAAAGATGAACAGGACATGCTAGAGGTGCCTCCTCCAAACATCTGTCCAGCTGCTTAACCTGCTGGAAATTAGGAGTGAATTTAAGTTTCACATCAAATTGTGGTGATATTAAATCAAAAACCAATGACACTGAACATTAAGGTCATAACATTACCTTCACATTTTTGGGGAAGGTTTAGCACTTTATGATCTAATACAGAACTAGAGTGTATGACAAACTTTGCATTCCTTGATGAGTAAGCATAATAAAGTACTCAAGTAAATATAATTTTAACACCACCACTGAAGATATTTTATTAATGTAAAGAGGATGAATGTATTTTTATCACTGAAGTATATCACTCATCTGCCTTTCAGACTACCATGAAGGAACTGTCTCAGATGCTGAAGAAGATGCCTCAGTATCAGAAGGAGCTCAGCAAGGTAGGAGCTGAAGTGTTACTGCACATATACAGTTACAGAATGCCATGCTACTGTATTTAGTAGATATTGTTATGTGTTTTTATCCAAAGCACCACAAGGGGCTGCCTCTTTCCAAGTGGGAATTAAACTAAAAACAACTTTTGTCAGTGCAGTTAGTGTATCACTTATTGAGTTAGAAAGGCCAGGTTAAAGGTCGATTTACATTTTTGAAAAATCTGATACTGTGACATTGTTGACACTCGAATGTCACATGTGCATGTATGTACAGACACTTGAATAATCTAACTGTAACTGTTTTAACAATTAATCAGCAAGAAAAGAAAATAACACCATCTATGACATTTGATACTAACACAGAACACAGATGTTCAGAACATTATTTCCCAAGGTGTACATATAATACATGACTCTTTCAATACTGTTTGCAGCTGAGTGTGTTTTCTGTTACCCCTTTTCTACCAAGGCAGTTTGAGTGCTGGTTCTGGGCCGTTGTCTAATTGTTAACCAGTTCTTTGCATACGACAATCAAACCAAACTAAAACTGTTTCCAGCACTGCACCGACACTTTGCTGATCTAGAACCGAGAACTGCATACAACAGGGGCTGGGCTGCCAGCGTTGTATTTTTTTTAGTTGTTTAGCAAGCTACAAATTTCTCAATGTTTCTTTCATAACTTTAATGTTTCATTTGGGGTTAATAACAGTAGCTATGCTTGTTTGGGTAATGTTACCAAGCTACTAGTGTAACCTTGGTAACAGTTGCAAATGTTAGGTATGTGACTTAATGACGTGGGCCTCTATCCTGTGGAAAAGCAAACCGTTTCTTAGAAGGTTTTCAAAATGAACCAAGTCTGAACCAGGACAAGCACGAGCCCAGAACTAGCACTAGGTTCACGCTGGTGGTATGTGTCAAATTCACTAACAGTATCTCTCCTGACTGACCTCAGTATTCAACCCATCTCCACCTGGCTGAGGACTGTATGAATCGCTACCAGGGCACTGTGGACAAACTCTGTCGTGTAGAACAAGTAAATCACACTTGCGCACCTGCACGCACACACACACACACACACACACACACACACACACACACACACACACACACACACACACACACACACACACACACACACACACACACACACACACAAACCTCTCTATTATATAGTTAGATCTGTCTCTAGACTGTGTAACAATGTCAAAAGGGCGGGAACCTACCTTGACACCAACCAGTGTCAAGTCAGGTTTGCTCTTTTCTTAGAATTTAGGGCAGGCTGATGCAAAAATATGAGTTTTGAGTTTACTTAAGAATGAGCTAGCAAAAGTAGAATCTTGGAAGCATACAGTGAGCCAATGTTATGAAATAAGAACATAAGGTAACATGGTCAAATTTTCTAGTTATGGTTAATATCCTAGCAGGAGTATTTTGTACAAGCTGTAGTTTGCTTATAGTTGACTTAGGTAAGCCAGAGAAAAGTGTATTATAATAGTGTTTCAGCATCAGCCACAGGAAGAATAGGATGAATCTTGGCAATGAATCTTTGTAATATTGTTAATATGTTTGTCAAAGGAGAGACTGAATCTGCTTCGGGACAATATTTAGTCTTTCCAGCAATGTGGCATTCCAATATAAGAAACCAATGGCAGCATGTTGGGTTGGAAGTATGCTTATTTGCTTTTTTTCCCCACCAGACTGGTATCAGTCTCATGTCAGTGGGTTGTGCTGGAGTCAAGAGTGAGGTCAGGTACAGGGACAGGTGCATGCCAGTGTACCAAAAGTCAACAGTTGGAATAGTAGTTGAAGTCATAAGGCAGTAAAATCTGAACACACACCATGATACAACACATTGTTGTTGGGATATAACAACTTCCTGCTGACCCTTCTGGAGTTAACTGCAGCCACATTCCTCTTATGTCTAAGCTAGATTTCTACACAGAAACGTTCGATCCTATGTATTGTTAAGATGTAACTTGTGTTGAGCTTTGGCCTCTTCTCTCCTTCATTGTTTCAGGATCTGGCAATGGGCATTGATGCAGAGGGAGAGAAGATCAAGGATCCCATGAGGCTCATTGTACCAGTTCTACTGGACACCAATGTCAGTGTGTCTGACAAGATACGCATCATCCTGCTCTACATTTTTCTAAAGAACGGTCAGTTATCCACTGTTCTGTGCATTTGGAAGGAAGGAAATGTCTAAACAGCCCAGTCAGAATCTTTTAAAGGAATCTTAAGTGTGTTTGCATTCATATTTTATTCTTTTGTTTCTTTGGTGTTAATCCATTTTCAGGTTTCCTTGCGTTTGCATGCATTATTTTGTATATGTAAATGTATATGCTGTCATGCATGTGTGTATTGGATAAACTGAAAGTCTATGCTGCATGTGTTTGTGCGTCTTTGTGTGTGTCAGGTGTGACTGAGGAGAACCTGTGTAAACTCCTTCAGCATGCCAACATTCCACCAGAGGAGAGTGACATCATTTCCAACATGGCCCACATGGGTATTCCCATTGTCTCTGAGGTGAGCTGTCCTGGCCCAGGACCTCATTGTCTTATCGTGAACCATATGAACCTTAATCTTGAGCAGGTTGCCACCAGGTTCTTAACACTTATGAAGATGTCAAGAAACACCTCTCTTCTTACTTTCTACTATATGTATAATATAACAGCATGGTTCCTCAAGTTGCTTGTTCTTTAAGCATGTTCACCAAAATTAGTTCACCAACCTGAACTGCTAACTTCTCACTGTAAAAGCATGTTTTGTGCATGGATGTGGGCCTCAGAGTTTTGAAGATTGCAACTGCACTGAGACAGCTCTTATCAAGGTCTCCAATTACCTACTTTTAGCAGTAAACAGATAGGGTGACTGCTCAGTCCTCTTGCTTTTAGATTTGAGGGCTGTTTTGACACTATTATTCAATGTTTTTGCACCATCTAGAAACCTAGAAACCTCTGCTCCAAGCTCTACATTTTCTACGTTCTTACTTGACTAATAAAACTTAAATTGGTAAATGATAAATTGGAGATTATAACCATTGGTCCAACAAACTCTACCAGTCTGGTTCACAGCAAGGTCAGCCCCTTTACTTAAAATATGAAGCAGGCTGCTAGAAATTTTGCCTTAATATTTGTTGCAGATGCTCAAGTGGATGTTGTGATGTTGTTATCCATGCTTTCATTTACTTGCTTGAACAGCCACAAAGAAATATGATCATGACTCGTGTTTTATCCAACTTACACTGGCCATCCTGTTTTATTCTGTATTGATTTGAAAATTAATAATCCTTTTAGAGTGTTAAATGGCCTTGCTCCAAATTATATAATGGATTTACTTAGATCTTATGTTCCCTGGCGTTCTCTGAGATAAGTGGATGCAGCTCTACTGGATGTTCCCATATCCCAGCTAAAGGTGACCGGGCTGTTCGAGCCCCCACACTGTAGAACACTCTACTTTTTGAAATCAGACGGACTACATTCTTAGCATTTTGGGGGTAGCAGGGGGTTATATTATTAGGCTTAATATGAGCCTAAATAACTCGAGACTGACATGTAAAATTGACACATTTCATTTCTTCACAGGGAACCATCAAGAAAGCCAAGAAGCCCGATCGTAAGGAGCGAATCAGTGAGCAGACCTACCAGCTCTCCAGGTGGACTCCTCTCGTCAAGGATCTCATTGAGGTACTTCTTATGTGCCTTTATCGTGCCGTATGCAGTGTGACTACACACAAATATTAGGGATTAATGCTACATCTTTATCTACCACAGGTAGCGTTTTACAGCATGTTGCTGCTTTAAGATGCTTACCTGTGGTTGTTAAATATATAGTATGTGTGATGATGTATTATAACAATTTAAAACATTGTAAGTTCTGATCCTAAAATGTAATTTTTCTTAAACCGAGTGATAAGATCTTCCACTATGGTATGGTAATTGGTCAAACAAGACAAACCCTTTTCTTGCAGGAAGCATACTCTCCTTGACATTAGTGATTTACCTTATTGTGCCTTGCTCTAACATTTGAACAATAGCATTTAAAAACTGATTGCATATTTGGTAAGATGGATTTTTGTGACACATTTTGTGTTCACAAGCTCACTTCCCATACATAAGGCTTGAGCCCTTTTAGGACAGGATTTATTCTTATGGGAGGTTGGGTGATTTTAACATGACCTGCACTGGTCAGTAAGTTTAATACTGTCTCAAGAGCTTATAGGGGTAAATTTCCACCCGCATCCCAAAAATAATTTCAGCCTCAAAAACATTCTGTTTTCATGGAACTTTATGGGCCTCTGGGTATTTTAAATCCAGTCCAGAGCGACACCCTTGTATTTTGAAAGGGGATTCCTGAGTTTTTTCCACAAGGAGAGCTGCTAATCTTGTTACTTTTTAAAAATGTTATTAACATGCTATAAACAAACGTTTTTGGTATCCGCTAGATATAAACATGCTAACACCAACATGTAGACCTGTTTGGAAACCAATATGATAATAAAAAAATAAAAGCCATCAGGAGAGGAAGAGCTGTAATGTCAGCTATATCCATAGGTGCAGCTCTCTTTTGGGTTTGTCCTGCTGAATATCCATGTCCGGTACAGACCACATCCTGTAATTTTGCAATAGTTAAAATGCAACCCGGAACAGGAGTACAAGGATTATTTTATTCTCCACCTTCCCATACTAAAAGAGTATTTTTTGTGAAACCTGTAAGTGAGACTGTTTCTTGTGTCAACAGTAGAAACTTATGTGTTTCCCACAGGACGCTATTGAGGACAAACTTGACCCCAAGCAGTACCCTTACATTTCCCAGAGACAAGTATCTTCCAAAGTCAGCGCTCCATCAAGGTGTGTAGTTTTTCAATGCATGCTGCCTACTTCCAGTAGCACATTACTTCAATAAATGACTTCAGTAACTTAAAAACATAAAATGAAGTAGATTCAAGCCATTGTTATAAATTGTAAAATCTTATATTTAAATAAGAGTCTTACAATATCGACTTAAATAAAATAAAAAAATCTACTTGCACTGGAAATAATCACTACCTTTAAATGTTTCCTTGCTTTAACTCTCGCAGTGCTCGCTATGGTAATTGGCACAAGAACAGGGGCCCCACAGAGATGAAGACAGGGCCCAGGATCATCGTCTTTATTATTGGAGGGGTGACGTACAGCGAGATGCGCTGTGTGTACGAGGTCACCCAGGCCAATGGCAAGTGGGAGGCACTGATCGGTGAGTTAATTGGACTAAAGGGTAAATCTGTGTTTTCGCAAGTCCCCCAACTAAATTAGTCAAGTCACCCCTTTATATTCTATTATACTTACTAGCCTAGGGAACCCTGGCACAACATGACTCACATCTTCCCAGCTCCCAAGACCCACCAGCAATAAAGCAATACATTTTCTTTTATTTATTTGAATCTTTTAGCTTCAGGGCGAGCTAACAATGAACGAAAAGAAACTAAAGTGAAGTAAGATAAATCACCCAAACTACTAAAACCAGGAGAAAAAGGGTCAAATACAAATGCTACCCACCACTACTAAATCCATGCTGTTACATTAGTCAGCAGATCTATTACATTTACCACAGAAACATGCTGGCTGGCAGTCTGGCTGCGAGGAGAGAGACGAACACCTGCAGGAGCTGGGGAATGCCAGCCTTTTAAAACGCAAGCTTGGAGACTGGAACCAATCAGCTCCCTGGAACAACCTACACACTCACACAGTCAATCATTCAATCAACCAAATTCACCTGCAACCCATCACACACAGGCACCACAGCAGAGAAAGAGGGATCCACAACACAAGCACAGGGGAGATCAAGCACCTACACAAATACACAGAAAATGCACGTACGATCTCAGGGTTATAACAACATTCTCTATCATACAGTCAAAATGCATTATTAGAACGAATTCTGAAGATAGGTTTTGGCTAGTAAAGTATTTTAAAAAATGAAATTGCTGCTTAATGTTTAACATGTTTTTCTACCTCACTATTTCACTCTACTATAATATTCATTATATATTTCTGTAGAGAGCTGTCAATAGCATGTTTGATTCAGCATGGCAATATCAGGAAGTTTAATCTGGATCAGAACTATCTGGGTTTGAAAATCCCATATTTTACTATCCAGGATCAGCTAATCCATTTTACTTTTGTGTCCGTTATTCAAAGAAACACTAGATTGGATCACCCTGATCTGGATACAAACTCTTCAAGATTAGCTCTAAAGGGGGCTACATATCACAATGTAGACTAGTAAAGAACTGCAGATAAACCAAAGAAGTCACAGTCTTTCTGTGGAAGAACAGCTCCTCATTGCTCTGTGTTTCTAAGCATTTGGTAACAATATATGAGCAGACAAATCACTTGCATTGACCAGCTAGGTCAATCAAATAGTTTCATTTCCAAAAGATGACTAGATTGTCCAGACCAAGTGCAAAGTTTTACTTTTGGGGAACATGCCCAATAGATCTAGGATAGCGCCTCATGAGAGGAACTGGGAGTTTACGACAACAGAAGGGGAAAAACAGCATCAACATCCAACTTTATCACAAACTGTGCTGTGAAGGTGCCTGGGCCCAACCAACCGGATTGCATAATATTAAGAGACAGTGTCTATCCACTTCTACCATGGCTAATGACCCCTTGTGAGGCAGCTGGGTTCGCAAGATCACATGAGACTGCATCTTGCCAGGCTTCAAGCTATGTACTTGTGTCCAACCACAGTGGTTATGAACCAAACTATGAGGAACTACTGCCAGCTACGGCTTGTGCTGTGGGCATGGTTTGACGCTAGGTGTGTGTGACAACAACGACTGTTCGCTCAAAAAGAATAATGGCAGCTGATTAAGAGGATTGCGTAGATGCTGCTAGCATCAGTTCTATTGGAACTGGAGAATATTTTTTCATTGAAAGAAGAGCAAAGAACAGCACTGAGGGCTTTTCTCCATGGAAAACATGTTTTTACTCTTCTCCCAACTGACTTCTGTAAGAGTTTGACTTGATCTGATTGGCTGAAGTTTGCACGTGATAGACGATGATTGACAAATTAATCCAGTCACCAAGTATTTTTTAAATGTGTCTGCCCTTTTTCCAAACACAGATGACTTCCCAGATGGTTCTATGTAACAAACCATCTGACGCAGCCAGGTTAGAGGACCCCTTTTTTTGCACCAAACACACCTGAGCAGGCACACTTCCACACTGCTCATTTCAAGATATACTATTGAAAGTTTAAATGGATTTCTGAAGAGGCAAGTGGAAGAACAGGAAGTGTGCAACATAATACTAGTTATACATAGTACTGCACAGCATAGCTACTAGGATCAATGTCCCTCTCTGTGATGAGGTTTTGATGCACCGTAGCCTGCTGAAGACCCAGACAGGCGTCTGGTGTTCTCTCAGAGTGAGGGATGGACTAGACGTGCAATAAGTTGAGTGGTCGAAAGACTAGAAAGGCGCTATATAAGTACAATCAATTTACCATTTAAGTGATGCAATTGTTAGAAACTACTTTGGTCGGTCAGTGTAATTAATACATATTAATGTGTATTAATATATAAGTGCTTAATGAAAGTTTAAATGTAATTACCTTTCTGTACTGAATGGCTTAATAGGTAGCTTAATGTCTACTTTATCTACTTTATCACTGTAATGGTTAAACAAATAAAATGCAAAATACAAATTAATGCATGTATACTACATGATACGTATGTTTTATCATTTGACCAATTCTAAAGTCTTACATCGTTCCTGAAAGCCCTGCATCCACCCGTTCGCTGGGATCAGGATAATCCCGATGTTTTGGAATCCCAATTCTACTAAAAAGTTGTGAACAACACACATTGAAGGTTTGATACAGATCAAAACCAAAACTAGATTACATAATCCTTTTTTTCTTTTTAAGAAGTCATTTTCAAGATTGGATCCAATCTGATCAGATTACTTCCGAACAACTGGGCCCTGTTTGGATGGATAAAAGCTGGATAAATCCTCCTGACATTTTGGATCTTGTTGATGTGTCTGTTTGGAAATCTTATATTTATGTTCCCTGTGCAGCGGATACAGCAGAACGTCTGTGAAATTAATCACATTTTCTGTGAGAGCTGATATGCTGTTGTGACTCTCAGGGAATGGATGCTGTGTCAGGTATACAGGAAGGAGAAGAGAACAAGTGGATCTGCAAAATCATCTGCAATTCAGATTTCAGTGGTCATACTGACCTCTCAGTCTGATTTGACAGCAATTTGTATCTTTTCAAGAAGACTTCAGTGGTTTTATTTGTGTTGTGACCATTGTAAAAAAAATACATAGTTACATAATAAACAAACTTCCGTCCAGAATTCAGTCCTTGCTGACCTTTAAGGCTTTTACCCCCCGTAGGTGCCACCCACATTCTCACCCCGCCTAAGTACCTAAAGGAACTACAGCACCCAGACTTCCTGGACCCCAACGCTGCACCAGAAGGCACAGAGGAGCCGCCTGCAGAATGAAAAGAAGTTTGGAAGTAAATACAAAATGATGTGTGAATCCCTGTGTTCCCCCAGCATCTTACCTTTCAACCACTGACCCCTGCAGTGTTTGTTGTCAATGATTTTCACTGACATTCAAATGCTGCCTTTTTGTTTGTGAAATAACTGACCCCAGTCCTGGTGTTTCATATCTATATCATGCGAGAGTACGTCAGTGTTTTTGGTAGATTGTCATATAGCACTACAGCCGTCTACACCATAGTCAGGTAAGCTGAACAAAGAGCCAAAAACCTGCCTTAGATACTGCAACATCGTAGTACATAAGTCGATCAGAACAACCACTAACCCTGATTGAAGACATGCGTTCCTAATATAAAAGAAAATATTTGTTTTGTGTTTCATTTAGTGTCAAATTTGGTAATTCAAGAAAACAACCTTGTTAGTAGTGTGCAATCCATGCAGTTTTTTTTTTTTTTTTATCAAGCAGTGTTGTTTGGAGGTTTTATAAAGCCAGGGGATTTCATTTTCCTCAAACCACAGTTCATTACAACAGGAATCTATAACTTTTCATTGAATGTCTCTTCATGCATCTTCCTGTGTGACTGTGTGTGTTGTGCCTCGCCTCCCTTTTTATACCCTCCAGGACCATCGCTGTGATTTGCTTCCCTGCACTGCCACTGTTCTTCATCTTCCTTTTGTCTATCTGGAGTAGCGCAGTTCCTTTTTCCAACACATATCTTTGACACTGTTTTTCCCTTGTGCAGCCCTGACCTAACAGGAAGAAATGTCACTGTATTTGTCTCTGAATGTCATGCTAGTTGATCTTTGGTAATGTCTCTCTGCTGACTTGTTGGTAAAGGGCTGAATGTTAAACTAAAAGTGAGTGCTGCCAGGACCACTTATGTTGTTACACCATAAGCAAGCAGTGCAATTATGTTAGTAATCATTCTCACTTATCCATAGTAGGGGTGTAAGAAAATATTGATACACTACAGATGGCACACAACATGTTGGACCCTAACTAATCATAGCTGTGAGTCTTTACTGATTAGCGCGATCATCAATATATACAAAGATGAACGTTTGTTTCTAATTCTATTAATTCTACTAATGATCTGTCACGATTCTGAGGCTGAACCCAGATGCAGATGCTAGACAAGCAGATTAGGTGAGGGTTTTTGAAAATACCGGAACGAATGGTGGAATGATGACATTGTGGCTGCCTGGAGCCTGAAGCTGAGGTGAAGATGAGTTATTCAGGAAAGGCTTGGCAGAGAGAAAACTGGGAATGAGGGCTGGCTGACTGCAGATGTGAGACGGGAAGGCAGGCAGATTATAGTCTTACTGACAGGCAGGCAGACAAAAACAAGCAGACTACTAGACATGCAGTTACAAAACAAGAAGCATAGAACATGAACAAAGCGTGACAAGAACTATGATTGGGCAGGGACTGGCTGTGTGTGCAGAGTTCATGAAGGCAGCCGTGATTGTTTGATAGCAGGCAGGTGTACAGAGAGAACAGAACCAGGAGCCAGAGTGAGGCAGGAGACCACGCTCATACACTCACACAGAGGCAGAGACAGACAGGGGAAAACGAGAGAAACAGAGCTACAGCCATGGCCATGACATGATCAAAACTTTTTTGCAAGTACAATGCACTCAGGATAAAATATGCATATCTGCAACATATAGAAATATAAGCATTTGGCATCAGGATGGAATATCAGACTCAGAATCAGCTTTTTTGGCCACTGTACGACCCCGGTTTTTAAGTTGCTCTCAGTGTTACACAGAAAACAGTTTATTGGAAGATAGAAATAGATATACAAACACAACAAAGCTGAACAAAGACAGGTAAAAAATAAGGATAGAACTGAATGACCAACAACATATAATGTCTACATACAAGTCAAGTGTTCTGTAGAATGTAATTCTGTACTTCTGTCTTTCCCCAAGGCCAAATCTTCCACCAAATTCATTAAAACCTTTCTAGTGTTTGATATATGGTACATTTAGACAAACCAACCGACAAAGTGAACATATAACCTCCCTTGCAGAGGTATAATTACATAGATGAACAACACTGATGAGAAGACGATGGATGCGGGTGTGGTGCTGGACTGGCAGTGGTGATTGGATTGTGAGTGCAGATGCAAAGGCTAATGGTGAGCACAGCAAATGTGCGGCGAGCAATCAGCTGCTGGAGATTTGATCAGCTTGCTGTCAGCTGAACAGGACACAGAAAATAAAGTGGCCTGTGGGCTACAGGATTGTTCCAAAAAAAGAAGCTCTGCTGCGAACAAAGGTTTATGATACTTAAACATTTTGTTCAGCAAGATAATCTTCACAAATGAACACCACTTGACACGTAAACTTGACCGCCAGAAGTACAAAAATAGCCTTAGGCTATAAACCAACTACACCATGGTCGCACGGCTTCTCCGTCACCACCGACTAAACTTCCAACTTGTAATTAAATCTTGTAATTAAAATCTACAAGTTGTTAAGTTGAGTTAGAACAGTTTGCAAGAATGCAAACACAACGAGGCTGTAAAGGCGGACTCTGTGTTTTAATGTCACCTACAACCTCTGTAGTCGCATTTAGCTTGTTAGCAAACGTCATTTTGAAGACACGTAAAAGCTTCAGAATTCACAGCCGGGGGATTTACTGATGTATTTTATGTCGTAGAACAAAACGTGAAAATCTCTTATCTCGCTTATCTCAGACAACTAACCAATACCCATTTAAAAAACCCATCGACTTTGAGACGAGGGAACCAGAGATGCTAAAATGTTAACTCAGTTCTGGGTTCTCATTCCTGCCTGAAGCTAAAATTCATACAGTAATGAATACATTTGCTGTAGTTGATCTGCTGAGGTAGTTCAAAAATGAATCTAGCTTAAAACGTAAACATAGCCTATGTTCAATGACATATGCATGTATGGTTCAGTTCCATTCAGGTCAAACAGAGTCAGGGTGCTGCTGTTGTGCAGGTTGGTTCACTGGAAAGGCTCTGCTACACTAAATGGAAGAGAACCTTAATTAGTCTCATTGGTAACACCTGTTTACCCTACTATTACATGTCAAAATGGCAGCTGGGATGCAAACCCATAATTTAGGCCTCTCTACATTTACTGTAGCTATGGCACACTACTTCCTGAAATGGCACCGAATGTTGGCGCTGGATGTAATGTGAGGTGTGGAATTGTCCAATATGGATGTAATTCCCAGAGATACTGGGTTGGTTAAAAAAATAACGATTATTCTCACAAGTTATCATACATTGTTGTGTGTCTTTCAGGATCAACTGAAATCTTCACCCCTTCTCGCCTTCTAAAAACCCTCAAAGACTTGGACAAAGAAAAGCAGACCAGTTAAGAAGCTCCTGTAGCGCTCCCTTCTCAGCTCAGCCCTCAAACAGCAGAAACACCAAACTGACCCCCCCCCCAGCAGGACACATTGAATCTTGATCTTGATCTTGTATATGATTCAGTTGTTGTTAACTCATAAACCAAACTGTTTTAAATCACATCATCGTGTGTTGAATTTTATGAGCGTGTTGCTGTTGATCAAAGTTTATTGGCAGAGATTGAATTTGTGTTGACTGTATATTGTGGGATGTGTATTTCCTTGGAAAAGTTTTGTATGTGAATTAGTTTAAATGACTGGAAGAGATTATAAATGGTTGAAGAGTATACTGGGACCATTTTTCCACTGCTTTACCAAATAAAATGGTCTTTTTCATCCAAGACTGGTGGATATGACACATTATCTGTGTATTCACTTCTATTGTATTCTCTCCTCTACCAGTACACAACCTTCTTTTATTTTGTTGGAGCATGCTAGTGTCTATGTAGTGCTTTCCATACAGTAGCAGCTGTGCTATATTGTACAAGTTATCAGATTTACAGTGATGTGTCTGACCTTGGAAATGCCAACGTAAAGCCACTCTGATGTATATTTAGCTGTAGATGAAGCATTTTGAAAGAAACATATAGAGTGTAGTTGGATTGTCTCTCTTGCTTTATCAGTAGTGTTTTTGGGCTGTGTTCCTTTCTCCTTTAGATATTCAGTTTCCTTTTGGTTCCCTGTGTTTGACCATAATGTCATTGGTTATTGTTATACTGTGGTTCTTTGTAACTAGTAATCCACTGTGTATGAAGAGAGATGTCAGTATGTCAGTCTGTGCTTTTATGTCCACATCCATGAACAATACTCGCTGCAGGGTGTGTGTTAAGCTAATAAAGTGGCTTCCATTAAACCATCATTATGTTTGTGTGTTCTTCCCCTGTGATGTCGAACCTTGTGAGGCAGCTAGTCTCAAGAGAATCCATCTATCCAGGTTTAAATCTATGTGACTAGCTGGTACAGGAGTACCAGACCAATCGGCGACTTTGAGGAAGTACTGGCAGCTACAGGGGTGGGTGCAAGGTGTGAGGCCGTGTGAAGACACTGTTCATATTTGCAACAATGGCAACTGCTAAAGATGTTAGTAGACGATGCTAGCATCAGTAACATCAGAACTGGAGAGTATTTCCTCATTGAAAGAAGAGCAAAGAACGGCACTGAAGGCTTTTCTGCTCATAGTGTGTATATATGGGTTTCTCCATCCATCCATTTTGCACATATATACAGGACAGCTTGAGCAATGGACATGACAGAGAGAGGGGATGACAGAAATGTGGCTTATTTATAAAAGCCAAATGATCCGGTTCATTTAAAACAGCCCTTATTTCTATTACTACTTTGGTGTGATTTGAGTCTACACCTGTGGTTGGACATTGAACCTGATAATCATGTAAACAAACCATCTCACAAACCATAGCTTGTTTCAATGCAAAGGAGCAGCAAGATGACCAGAGTCCTCACACTGTCCCTCGGGATGTTGTACCTGTGAAGAGGGAGCTGAGCTACATTCCAACTCTCATATACAGATATACAGTCACAAGCTTGTCACAAAGTAGCAGAATGCAGGGAGTAACAATTAAGTAGGGTTGGGTATCAAAACGCGGTACCAATAGGGCACCGGTTCCGACGTAAACGGTAGTAACCAGACCGAGTAAGAACGAACATTTCGGTGCCTGACTTTTTTTTTTTTACCGCCCCCTGGTGTTCCGGTGTCAACTTGCGTGACGTCAGTCCTGCTACTCAGTACACTTGTTGATCAGAACTGATAGTGAGAGGATCAATGAAGATGCCGAAGGCAAAACGCTCCAAGGTATGGCTGCATTTCACATCTAAGGATGCAGAGTCTGCGACATGCAACAGATGCCATAAAACAATTGCATGCAAGGGACATAACACGTCAAATTTGATGAAACATCTGGCGACACATGGAGTTTATTTAAAGCCGAACAATGCATCGTGTTTGATAACCTATGTGAGGCAAGGCCAAGCACTTCAGCAGCCGCAGCCAGTGTCGGCCTCGCCGGACAAATTGAAGAGACTCCCAGCCCAGCCAGTGTGGTGGTGGACATCACAGATGATAATGATGACAGCAGCCTTTCCTCTTCGGGTAAGTCTAGTAATTTAATGCCAACCGCAAATCATGCATGTCAAGTAGGCTAGCAAGCACCGTTGCCATTCAACAGCGTGAGTGACAACGTGTGTTATGTTATGTGCTTAATGTGTTCAATTTGGCCCTGGAAATAAAAGGGTTTCTTTTTTTTAAGTACTGGTTCGAGAACCGTTTAAGCACCGGAACCGTTTAAAAAATACAGAGTAGGCACCGGTATCGGATAAAACCCAACCGATACCCAACTTTTAAGTAATTAAACTAACTTACTAATTAAGTTAGTGGTGCTTTGATTTAAAGGACCAATGTGTAGGATTTAGTGGCATCTATTGGTGAAGTTGCAGACTGCAACTAACTGAATACCTCTCGTGTCTGTATTTGACAACCTGGGAATTAGAACGGACTGTGAAGAGTGTAGGAGAAACTACGGTGACTGTAAAACTCACAAAATATGTGAAAGGCCCTATCTAGAGCCATTGTTTGGTTTGTCCATTCTGTATGTAGCCCGGTGTAAAAGTACAGGGGTTAAAACAAGTTAATTTGTAGTAAAAATGCTTATTTCAATTAATTAATTAAATAATTCAGTAATGCAATTAAACTGAAAGTAATTTAGGTTAAAAGCAGTGAAAGATGAAATGTTAACTAAGAGATTAACATAAGTTCATAATAAATAAAGTAGAGTGTAAATAGTTGATTAAGTAGTTACATTAAACTGTAAAGTGTAAACTAAACTAAATAGGAATATACAGATTTGTGTCCTTGGTTCATGCTGTTTCATTTGATTGGTTGCTGTAGGTATCACTCAATGTCACCTGTTGGTAATTGGCAGTAGGTAAGAAAGTGAACGACAAAGGGGCGGGAAAGAAAAAAGCGACAACAAGAGAGACAGTAGAATCGGGCCGCAGAGAAAAATTGCCCCAGGCCCCCTGATGAGTTAGTTAATCCAACCCTGATCAGTAACTATAGCTGTCAGGGGCGGACTGGGACAATAATTCAGGCCGGGAATTTGATACCATCCCAGGCCACCACCACCCGATTAACGCAAAACACCAAGAGTGAGTTAGGTTGGGCGCCTACTGATTTAAGAGTGTAAAATAATAAAGCCAAGGCTCCACATGGGCCCACACACAGCTTTTTGTTTCTTTCCCCTACAAAATAAATGTTTCTGCTGTGCTGCAATAACCTGTACTCAAATCACATAAACTGAAATGATGTTCACCTCGTATGTAGGATTGGGTATCGGTTGGGTTTTATCCGATACCGGTGCCTACTCTGTATTTTTTAAACGGTTCCAGTGCTTTAATGGTTCTCGAACCGGTACTTAAAAAAACAATTTTGTTACAGCCTTATTCCAAAATGGATTCAATTCATTTTTTTCCTTAAAACTCTACACATCATGACAACTTAAAAAAAGTTTGTTTGAGATTTTTACAAATTTATAAAAAATAAAAAATGAAGAAATCACTTGTACATAAGTATTCACAGCCTTTGCGATCAAGCTCAAAATTGAGCTCAGGTGCATTCTTTTTCCACTGATCATCCTTGAGATGTTTCTGCAGCTTAATTGGAGTCCACCTGTTGTAAATACAGTTGATTGGACATGATTTGGAAAGGCCGATAGTCACCCTGACAGAGCTCCAGGGTTGAACATCTCTGGAGGGATCTGAAAATGGCTGTGCACCGACGCTCCCCATCCAACCTGATGGAGCTCGAGAGGTTCTGTAAAGAGGAATGGGCGAAACTAGCCAAAGATGTTTTGAGGTGTGCCAAGCTTGTGGCTTTATATTCCTAAAGACTTGAGGCTGGAATTTTCTGCCAAAGATGCCAGAACAAAGTATTGATCAAAGTCTGTGAATACTTATGTACATGTATTTTTGTTCTTTATTATATATATTATATATAACCTTTTTTCATGTTGTCATTATGGGGTATTGTGTGTAGACTTTTGAGGAAAAAAATGAATTGAATCCATTTTGGAATAAGGCTGTAACATAATGAAATGTTGAAAAAGTGAAGCGCTGTGAATACTTTCCGTATGCACTGTACACCTTAATATGACCACCAAATACACAGCAAATAACCACAACACACACAACCCATGTGAAAAACCTTTATTATATAAAAACTATAATCCTCTACCTCCTGGTTAACCACAACCTCCACCTCACCCTGAGGATCCCCCATTGACCTGCACACATACAAACAAAATATAAAATTCTCAATTGTGACAGTAATGAATTTATGCCCTCTAACTTCTTGCTCACAAAAACACACATTTTTTAAAACATAACAAACATACCATCGCTGAGAAAGAGCAGCTCCAACTTCTTCTTCCCAAGGCAATCAACTGCAATCTCAATGCAGACATCTGCAGTCTCAATGAAGAGACCTCTTGCTCTGCAGCCTTTCTCTGCCTCACTTCCCGTATTATTGCTTCCAAAGCAAATCCATGGGAATTAAGCACTGTACTGTACAGACTTTCCCTTGTCACAGTTGGATCTATGACAGCATACTAAAAACAAACAAAGAAAACTAAATATTAATTATACAACAACATTAATAAAAGTCATACATAGCTTTTGAATAAACTCTTTCCTTTTTACCTACAATCTATTTTAACACTAATGTTTAACCAAATACAAATCAAAGCAGATAAATCAATAAAACTTTATCAATGTAGCACTAAACATACATGCAGAATGTAACACAAACTGATTCACAAATAAGACATCCTAACCATAGGTCCCCATAGGTATAGGTGAATATTCCTGTCTGACTTTATCGTCCCATTATTGCCTTTAAAACTGTAAATATTAAATGACCATAATCAGCACTGGTCTTTCTTTCTTTCTTTCTTTCTTTCTTTCTTTCTTGCTCTCGCTCTCTCCCCCGTTCCTCCCGTACAATTAACAAAAATAACCAAACACTTTGATATGAAACAAAACGGTGTTTATGTTAAACAACTCGCAGCAACAAACAAGATAAACTGAGTTACATTTAGGCCTTTTTGAACTAGCGGATACAACAGGGCAGCTATTTAAGGTCCAGATAACGGAGACACAATATAACAACATCATTGCACACATTAGTTGAGAACAACAACTACAAATGCACAATATAATTGTTTAAACACTGTCCTGATAAAACCCCTATAAAACAGAAACACATTTAATACTTACAGAAGACAACTGGAGCGTCTGTCGGACGCTCTCGACCACATCAACGTTTAGTGCGGGAAACTTCGTTGGCAAAGTATATTTCGCCATTTTCTGTAAAACAACATAAAACCGTAAACAGGTCAACCCACCATGCATACTATTAACAACATGAATACAGTGGAAGAAACACTTTCTCACACGAACATGAAATACAATTCACAGAAAACACAAGAGAGAGAGAACAACAAAGAAGTGACTCTTACCTACGGTGGCCGATAAGGGCAAACGCGCTGCAAACGGCAAAACGCTTCAAACACAGGAATGATGAAAATCCAAAAACACACAAACACATAAAACAAATGCAACAGAAAAACGCTGCAATCACAGAAACGGAGCAGAAGCACAAACTTACAAACCCACAAAACAACTAATTATACAATATTATAATATTATAAAGGATTACGGCCAAGTGTTTAAAAAAGACATAAAGGAAAGCACCACTGATAGCTGTCATTAAGTGCAGTACACTATAGCTCAATGAAATGTCATGAAATACAAGTATAAAGTAGTTCCTCAAATAAAGTACCAGTACCTCAAAGCTCTACTAAACTGCACTTCACCACTGCTGTATTTTGAGTATATATCTGCTCATGCTCATGGTTTAGTCACATTTTTCTACGCAGCACATTTGTTTGCGTGATGGGCCTTGCTCCAGTCTTCATAAGATTAACTTGCATGCAGCTGTCAGTCCCCATGAAGCCACTGGAGGGAGCCTTTGCCAAACGCTGCTGAGAGCTGTTTAAAGCGTGGTACAGATCTTTCATTATGAGAGCTTTGAAGCATGTGATCTCAGCTGTGGTAGAAAGACTATTTTTAGAGTCTTTTCCCTCTAAAGCTGCATTGATGTTTTGATCAACATGATTTCTCTGGTAAATGAAAGAGTGAGAACAGAAAAGCAATGAGTCTGATTTAATGTATAATGAGACAGCCAAGACAGTGGGAGAAAAGTGTTCAGCAACAACATCCTTACCGACCGGTGTTCTTCCAGCTCAGTGGATACTGCTCTGTTTGAGGATGAAGTAGCAACAGCCAAAACATTACATTTCCTTTCAGAAAACTAGTTGGGATAGTGCTCTGCTATCTATCTGGTACAAGCTGTGTTTATGCAGTCTGCTCAAGGCCGCAGGCAGAGAGGCACTATAAGATGTTGTGAGTCATTTGAATACTATGGAAACCAATATTTTACAGAGACAAAGCTCAGGACAGCTGAACTAAAGCCTGTCCAAAACATCTAGTCATGTATATACACAGAGAATTCCACAGTGCTTGAGTTTCAACCTTTACTTGTTTTCTCTAAATCTCCCCACAACACAAAGGCTGTCTCTGGTGCATTGCCATATGCCTCTAACAAATGAGCTTTCTAGATAGGGGTGCAGTTAAGATACAGAGGTTACACTGCAGAGTCAGGTTCTCCGTTCTTATATTTCATAGGAGCACAAAATGTCCTTCATAACAAATTCTTTGGTCTTCTTATTGAGCTTTCAAATCTTGTTTTTTCTATCAGAATAAGTAAATGAATGTATCTAAAGACGGATTTTGGATTAGTTCACTTCTCATGGGTGTGATAGTATGTGCTCAAATAAGAATCCATATTTAGAATAAAGCCATAATTGTAATTTTATGATTACAAATACAAATTACAAATGAATTCAATAATTCAAGAAGTACCCATCCAGTCAGTCAGCTGAAGCCACCAGTGCACATCCACTGAGAATGGACTTCACAGTGAAGTAGGAGACATCTTGTGTCCAGCTGGAAAACTTTAGAAATTAACAACATTTGCATATTCAGAGATTCTGGAAGCTTTAATGAGGTAGAAAGAGGAGATGGAAGGATTTTAATGTGGAAATTATACCTTTTTTTTTTTTTTAGAAGAAGAATAACACATCAGACACACATTATTGTTCCAAATAGGCTATTTGTATATATGTCATAATACATGTCTGGAGGAGATCTTTCAAAGATTATACACCTCTCCTCATTACATTTCAACTGCAGCCTCCGAAATGAGCATAAAGTACAATAAAAATATGGCTATTTAAGGGTTTTAATGTAGAAATTATACTTTTTGGTGGAAAAAAACATCAGACACACATTGTTCCAAGTAGACTATTTGTATTGTGCCTGTCTGGAGGGGATTTTTAACATTTCAAGAAAGAATTATAGAGGAAAAAGTATATTTTGAGAATAAAGTCATAGGATTGCGAGAAAAAGTTTGTTTCAAGAAGCCCCTCAAACACACTATTGTGGCGTTTTCATTCAGTTTGTTTTATTATGTCTTCTTCCTCTGTGCCATAGAGCTCCGCTGTTGTCCATTAACTATTAAAAACACATCAGAGCCACACTGTTGCACTGGGTGAAAGTTCCTTTATTACTATGAACACACACACTAAAGTTTATGTTGACTTCAGGGATGAGGATGTAGTGGTTTGGCAAATGTACGTCTTGTTGACTTCACCACTCCTGATAAAGGAGATAAACTTCCTTAAACTCACTCACCCACACACAGAGCCAGATGGGGTTGAGAGTTAGAATGAGAGTGTCACTGCGTTGATCTGAGTGGAATAGCACAGCAATAAGACCCTGCACAGCAGACAGTGACAGCTAGAGTCTGGCTGCCTGTCATATCATTTCTAGAGAGTCTTACTGAAGCTCACTGAGGTTTCAACATTTTCCAGTGAGCTCCTTGTCAATATTTTAAAATCTGTTAATGGAGGTGCTTAACTTACATCATCCACATGATCCCAAAAGCCTTTTTTTTTTTTACTGAATTGTAACCCTAATACTCTGTAGTAGTGTGCCAGTACTGATTTTACAGATCTCAGCTGAGGGGAAAAGGAGAGAGAGAACCAGTTCCCAACTGCATAATAACAGAAATATCCACTTGGAGAAACTAATCCCACAAGTATGTTCACAATGAATGAAAAAGTCATTGTTGAGGAGTCAGTCCCCACATGATCCTCCAATCAACCCAGAGTTCAAATGAATTTGGGGGGAAAAAGCGACACTGTGGATAGTAATATAATATGCAAATTTAAGATCGATATGTAAACAGATTTAATTATTTCACAAAATTTTGTTTACACTTATGTAAGCTCCTAAAATGCAAATCTGACTGTTTTTAATCCTTGTAATCCGTTATTTAAAATCTAACAAATATTTATCCAATCTTACCATCTTCTATCTCTTTTAGCATAGATGAACAAAAGAAGTAGAAACTGCAGCATTTGGTGAAGTCAGCACACTGCTAATGGGAAAAGGAATGTAAGCAAGCTCGATATAAATGAGATTGTCTTCCTGCTTTAAAACAGAGCAGCAGTCCAGAGTATGTGGAGCATTTAAAAGCCGTGATTGAGCAGAAGCACCGCTGCTCACTCTTTCACCAACACTGTTCCTGGGCAAATGAGCTTGTTTTATTGAAGGGAAATTATTTTGATACAAATCGGAGTTATCAACCTCACACTGCCTTCACGACAGAACTCACATTCAGCATATTCAAATAGTAAATAAAAAATCAGCAAAAAAACAGCATCATTTACTAACAGTAAAGAACAAATAAAATAAATAAATTGGTTTTTTTTCTTTATGATTTAATTTAATTTAAGAACAGGTATTGTAATACTAATGTTGACCACAAGATGCTTATATAATTTGCTAACACAAAACATATGTACCACCTTGTGTCATAGTCCATGAGGAGATTAAAAGGGTAAAAAGGTTAAGTAATGTATTAAGCAACAATGCCAAACATTCACTGCCTACAACTTCTCAAATGCGAGGATTTTCTGCTTTTATCTGTTTTATATGATTTTGAATTAAAACAATCTGGCTTTGCATTGTTGGCCCTACAAAAACGAATAATAAGAACACATCAACACATAATTGTGTAATAAAAATGTTCTCACATTTTTTTTACCAAACAATTTATCAAAGAATCAAAGAACAATTGACAGGATTTGGTTGAAAAGTTAGGGATAAGAAATGTGTCACAGATGAAGAGAAGCAGGCTGCTAGCAAGCAAACATGGATGTAAACAATGTTGTTCTTAAAAACAAAATCAGTTCTGCAAATGTTTCATGATAAAGGAAATTCATTCAGCATCAGTGAATGTAAACATAATGGTGTTGTTTACCTTTGTTTCTTGTTTACCTTTTAATATGTTAAACTATATGTTCACCCTTAACAAGAAGGAGCCTCAGGAACAGGAGATAATGTAGCACTCAGGTAAAGCCTTTTATCATTGCTGTTATTATAATATTGTGGTGCATGTTCTCAAACTAATTTTCAACTGCACACATTTTCACAAACTCACACACAGCCAACCTGAGGCTTCCAGGGGCCCCTGGGAATCCTGTGCCAGCTGCTCACATTGGCCTGTTGAAAATCCACACTTCCCAACACTGATGCACCACAGTGTGTTAGCTTTTCACATAAACAACTGTCCTATGTCAGTTTATTTATTTATTGTTAATATATTTCTGGGCTTTTTTTATGAGAGAGAGAGAGAGAGAGAGAGAGAGAGAGAGAGAGAGAGAGAGAGACTCTCTAATTGTCTGATAGACAATTGATATCTGATAGTCCTGCCTTTCACTGAGATGGAAAGACACTGTACAAAATCAGAGGTGACCTCTGTTCACAGAGACATATGGTCAGTTTTCAGTGTAAATATGCAGATTGGTGTAATCTCCATAAACTGCTGTAGAGATCCAAATGCCACAAAATGAAAAGCATCTGGGAGGAAGAGCTGGATATGCAGATTAATATCAGACAGTGTTTTGTTTATTTATCTGTCAGTTTATTTATTTAAACTCAACAGCAGAATGCACTGGATACATTCCACAGCTTCTCTTTGTGAGCTGTGACATGTGAATCAGAAGGGGTCAAAGCTGGAGGTTTTCTGAGATGTTTGTTTGCACTTTACAACCTCACCCAGAAACTGCACTTTTCTGCTTTTCACTCTGCCTCTAAAATACAAACCGCTCTCTGAAATTAGCACTGTTCAGTCAGACAACTCACATTTGAAATGTTTATTACAGCAGTATAGCATATTTTGATTTTGGCATTTAGGCTATGTTTATGATGAGCAAATACCCTAAACCCCTAGTCGGAGCCTACAGGTGGATGCTGGGGTGGTGGTGGGGCTTACAGCGCAGCAGGCAGCAATAGCTTACAGAGCAGCAGCAGCAATACAGATGCAGGGCAAGAGCGGCATTGACAGACCAGAGGGAGAGCTGGGAAATTGTGCAGTTTAAATAGACCGCCAGATTGGAAGGGAGCGCTTGGTTAGTGACTATGGAATAAGGCATGTCATATGTATAACAGCACAGCTCCAGTTGACTGCCTGAACTAGCTCGCAGGCTTCACTCCATTTATTTACATTATGATTATTGTGAATAGAATAGAACAGAATGACAGATGGTATGGAAGTCAGATACTGTGTTATGGTTCACCACCTGGCTGACTTTGTGAATTACAGGAACTGTACAGTGATTGCATCCTGTACCAAACCATGCTAGTAAGTCACAAGAAATACTTATAACTTATAAATTATATATAACTCTGTTGTATTTGGACTGTATGTAGCATAATTTTATTTTCTTAAAATCTGTACGCATCTATTCTTGTGCATTCTTTCTCAAATGTTTGTTGCAGGTGAACTGTATCACATAATACAGAGATGTGTCATTAATACATATATACAAATAGTTCTACCTCATTAAAACATTTCTAAAGTTTTGCTGCTGGACACAAGATGTCTCCTACCCCACTGTAAAGTCCATTCTCAGTGGATGTGCACTGGTGGCACATCACACTGTACAAGTTGATACTGGACCAGGACTGACTTCCAAACTATTTGTGATGCTGGTAGGCCCCGCCCCTTAAAATCAGATGTTCAATGAGCTCAGAGAAACTTTCCACTTTCAGCAGATGAATGTGAAAACATCCTTCTAGAGTCAAACTGCACAGACAGAATTCAAACATCACACTGTAGGGACACGAAGAAACACTGGTTTCTGACTGGAGGGGGCTTTAACAAACCAGGTGGCCAGGCTTTTGTTTTGTTGCTGCATGAGTCATATGAACCCACACACATGAAAAAAGTATTCGAACAAGGTAAAACAACTGCTTTTCAGCTCATTTCTTTACACCAAACATGCAACACAACATCTTTGCTTTAGTTTTTTTTCAGACTTTTTTATTGTGTCTTCAGGAAATCGGTTTGGGGGATATTTGGAAGTATTTCACTCTTTTTGCCATTTGAAAAAAAAAAAAAGATTACCAATATAGGAATTAGTCAGTTGTTCTGGAGGATATGTTTGTGGTGAGACAGCTGTGATAGGACACTGGAAGGGAAACACACAACAGATGTGAGCAGTTACATCATCACAGAGGAGTTACATAATTGTGTTAAAACAAAATTCTCTAACCTCTTACTTTATATACATCTCTATAAATCTATGTGCAGCCTTTTCTGTACAAGATATATCATTTTTGAAGTTTGCATTAACAAAAAACTAATTTACAAAGCATTTAAATATTCTCACTTCATCCTTGAATCCAGACCCCTGTAGCACTGGCCAGTAATGTAGCATTACTCCTACATATTACCACTGAACTCCTACATTTCTCTACTAATCGGTATTATCTCAAGTAAAGGGATTCTGTCATTACATTACAAAAATATAATATAACCATCATAAATAGAATCAGCCCAAAATACATTTTTGAAAGCAAACTACTAGTGTCTCAATCTGGATTACTTGGCTCTAGTGGATTACTTTGGATCATGGTTACAGTTATGAAAAGAACAGACACTAAAATATGTCTGTGGAACCAGGAAACAGTTTTGAAGGGACAGGCCAAATTAAGCCACATACACGTCTGACTGATCTGCACTTTTCTACGGCAGGATAACCACTCTAGTTAACACTGCTGTAAGCAACAACATGCTTCTTTCTGGTTAATAGTGCATTCATCTGTCTACAGCCCAGGTTGAAAATTGATTATGAAATTATTTCCTGCTGTAGACCATAATGAGCAGAAACAATAGGTTTGACATTTGTTCAAACAGGGGTCTATTGTCTATAAATGCCTTTAAAGGGGCACTCCAGTGATTTAGCATTGCATTGTCAAAAGGTTGGTGACATACAAGAGACAGATTTAAAAAAACAATTGTTCAAATTGCAGCAGCAGAGTCAGACATATTCTGAGTTTTAGTATGGATAAAGATCTAAAAACACGAGATCCTACATTTCCCCACCGATAGCATCTTTTTGTTAAAGGGACATTGTGTAGGAATTTCTCCCATCTAGCGGTGAAACTATTTTGCATTCAAACGAATAGTGCTCTCTAGTGCCTCGCATTTTCAAATGCGTATTGCAACTACGGTAGCCGTTATGTACCAAGAAGCCTACCTGTCGAGGAGAAAGCAGGCAACTTCAGCGTCTCTTTGCAAGTCTTTCTCCTTCATTAGCTCTTTCCACCTGGGAAAAGCTACCCCGATGTTTACCCCCGTTTCTTTAATTTGCCGGTCACGTTGCCTTTTTAATTCCCTTTTCGCTTTTTTGGCGACGAGGATTCCTTCTCCTGTGGCTCGGCATAAGTATGATCCTCCATTATGAACTAAAGTGCAGTGCAGACTTTCAAATGTGCCGGGGCAGTGACAATAGCCTCTCACTGATCTCCTTCTCCGTTATAGCTGGTTTCAGTCACGTGCCGCTGGCTCTGAACGAAAACGCGTTGTGGATTAGCTAGACAGGTAGACTAGTGCTTTATGTCCCTCTCGGCAATTATAGTTTTTCAAAATGGTGGAACAACATGGAAGCCTCCATGGACTTGCCCGTCCAATGTATATACAGAGAAGAAATTCTTCGCTTACAAGGATAAGTCAGATCATTGGCAGAGGTAATTTTACACCAATGAGGACACATTTATGAATGAAGATATTGATTTTAGCTAATAAAATACTTAAAACACTACACAATGTCCCTTTAAAAGTAGTTGTTTACCCTGCCTGGTAAACTTCACCGCTCTAATTTTTTCTTTTTTGTGGTCATAAATGTGTAGTCTCCAAGCCCAAGCTGAGATAACCCTGATCTGTGGAGTGCCCCATTAACTGTAATCCTTTCCTATTGTATACCACTGCAATACTGCAGACACAGTACATACATTCTGTAACACAATAACTGCTCCAGTATGATATTGTCAGTCTGGAGAATCATTGCTCTACAACTGCATCTACCAAAGTTTTCAAGATTTTTTGTCTGTGCATTCATGGTGAGTGCAAATAGTGCAGCTTCAGCTCTAAAGCAGATCTACAAAGCAACACTGCCATGTAAGGAACACAGATTGGTACATAACTTTAGAAAGGAGAGAGTTGGTACTGTGTTAGTGAACTAGGCACAGTCTCTGAATAGCCTCAGACACAAATACATATATTAGGTTAAAACTATTAAAATGAATGTAGTATGATACAACAGCTCTTGAATAAATCCTACCTTCATGAAGGTTCTAATGTATGGAGCCAGGACGGTGACTTTAAAATTTGGCATCCCAAAAAAAAATTGGCATTGAAAACAAAACCAGTACTGAAAAAGGAAACATTGGCATTGAGACATCTGTATTGAAAACAGTTGTAGTGGCATTGAAACAAGTATTGGCACTGAAAAAAGAAACTAATTAAAATAATTAAAATCTTAAAATCTTATTTTATTTTATTGGGATTTTTTTGTATTTTCAATGACAATCTTCAGATTTTTTTCTTCATGTCACTTTTTTTTCAGTGACAGATTTTTTTACGACAGGTCTTTTTCAGTGTCACTGATTTTCAGTTTCAACTTTCTGTCACTGTTTTGGGGTTAAGAGCAGGGGTCTCAGGGGAGGGGCAAGTAGAGCGTGGTTTGCATATAATTTGCATATTGGCATACTGAAGAAGTACGTCTCTTTTCAGGAACCCGTCTTTCTTTTTTCAGTGCCAATACTTGTTTCAATGCCAATACAACAGTTTTCAATACAAATGTTTCAATGCCAATGTTTCCCTTTTTCAGTACTGGTTTTTTCAATGCCAATTTTTTTTTGGATGCCAAATTTTAAAGTCACCATCCTGGCTCCATACTAATGTTTTTGTTCAAACTATTTCAGAGAGGTGTTGATTTTATGCTCATTTTGGAGGCTGCAGTTTGGGCTGCTGTTGAATTGTATTGGATAAAACAGAGAGGAATGTCTAATCTTAAAGTCTACCCTCCAGGGGCGGATCTAGAGAAATAGTCATGGGGTGGCGTAAGGGGTGAGAAAAATAAGTGCTGATTTAATCAATCACATAAATCAATTTTTGCTTGGAAAAGCCCCCAAATGAAGATATTTGAAGTCAAAAACATTACATCACTTGGCACATTACTGAGTCACCACTGAGTCTAAAATGTGGCTATAACAGATCATTAGATTATTTTTTGTTTTAACACAATATTTTTAAACTTAATTTAAATGAATGTCTCAAATTTGATAGCATTTGACACCCTCTAGATTCGCCCCTGCTACTCTCCCTGATATATTTTAATGGCTAGATTAATCTGGCCAGGGGTCAACCTTTGGAAATGAACACAAAAAAATTAAGTTGGGATTTACTGCAGGGCTGTTATATAGGCTGCATTAGGTTGAGCTAGGTCATAAACTGGCAAGTCAGTGTAATTTTTATCAACATGATGGGCACATAGCAGCTGTATTTGTTTTTGTTTTTTTAAACAAAGACAAATTGCCACTTCCCACAGTCAGTGAATAGTATTGCTTTCTGATTTGGTCATACTGTCTTCTTTACAAACCTGAATGAGTCTTTCTGGCTATGTTCCTCACAGCACACGCACCTTATTAATTATAAGAGCTTACTTCAATCTAAACAGTGCTTCCTATACAGTGCATTAGCAGCTCACTGATTCATGACTGGGGCTCAGTCCTCATCAGCATCCAACAGAATGCAGGATATGGATATGCTAATTCATATAGAAGCTTCATTGATCTCCACTGTGTAAGTGTTTGGATAGCCTGCACTTAGAGATATTGGGGCAAGGCATAAAATAAAATATGAGTAAAATATGAGTCTTGGAAAATATTAAATGCTCTTCTACCGTAAACTACTTGATATTATAAAAAGTTATATAGTCATTTCATATAGGGACTATAAGCAATCTACATTATATACAAACAATTATACTTTGTGTTATAGCTTTTGAAGTACATATGGCAATCTTGCTTAAATATTCAAGAGATGTTACACAGTTAACATGGTGATGGGTTAAACATAAATATGACCTAAAAAGAAAAGCACCATTTTGGTCAACTTGAAGGAGCTGCTAATGTATAAATCAGTAGTACTTTCAGTACTTTCAGTAGATCCTCTTAATAAATTCTTCTTTAAAGTAATAGGGCCTACTGTAATTTTAGTCCATTCATTTTGCCATGATATACTGGTGGCTGACATATGAGAATTGTGAGTTTTCATTCACAATATATATCAAGGTAATTCATTAATTATGCCAAACATGAGTCAAACGATATTTGCAAGAAGGCTTGTTAAAATGAGTGTTACAATTTCACTTCTATGTATCAGAGACAGAAGGGCCAGAAAAAAAAATCCTGTTTTAATGAAACCTCAAGTGGGCAGAGCCAAAGCCAGTTATCTTGTCTAATAAGTATTTGCCAAAGCTCAATAAAAAGGGAGGGAAGCTAACATTATAAAATCCCATTCTTTTAGTAACTGGACAAAAGATACCTACACTTTTGTAGGGTTGTTTATTAGTCTGGCTGAGCTTTTATTAGCCATTCATCTAGCTTAGCTGGTAATCAGACCTGTTCAACTTCCACAATCACAGTCATATTTTTATTTACACCTCAATCGATTTTTTCCCATGACGTTAACAGAGGGATGTAGTATGAAGCAAGATTAATGGGTTAGTGTGGTACTTTGAGCCTAAAGCCAGAGTTTTCGATGTCTAGAAGGTGGCTCTCTTTTAACCTGGCTGTGTCGCCATGGTAACTTATGCTGCGCACCTTACCTGCTCTTCAGTGCCGTTCTTTGCTCTTCTTTCAATAAATCAGGCCAACCCTGGCCACCATTGTTGTTTAATCGAACAGTGTAGCTGCTAGTACTTCCTTAGGCAAACTGTGGCCAACTTACTGATACCAGAGCAATCAAACACATAGATTGAAGCCTGTCAAGATGGATTCTCACATGATTTTGTGATCTCAGGAGTCCAGATGCCTTGCAATATTAGGTATGTTCACAGTTTTGAACACTATTTTGGGAGCTTGTTTTGCCTTTAGTTTGACAGTTCAGGAAATGGTGAAAGAGCAAGGGCCACAGGCTGGGCTCAAAACCATGACCACTGTTGTTTCCAACATCTGTTGTGTCTGGTTGTGTTTCAAAAAGACTGTATAGACTGTAATGTGATTGACTGTTTTTAGTATTATTTGGTGTATCAAACACACTATCCATACTAACTGTCCTCCTGGTGAAACATACAATAACATTCCGAGTTTGAAAACTAATGAAACAGAATTAACTAATGACACAAATGCAAATAGCATTTGACCCAGTGTGACTTTCATGGCAAATATTAATGTAATGTCCTTTATGACAAATTTGAATTGTGCAAATCTCTGTAGAGTGCAATCAACAAATACCCGACACATCTTTCCACTAACCCTTTCCCTGAAATTAAAATGAGGGTTTATAGGACAACGTCATGTGAAGTTCACACAGCTCCCTCAAAGCAGTCTGACAGTGTCTTCTTAAAACAGGCTGCATGAAGTGCAAGTCCTCGTACTAGAGTCCTGGCTCAACCACCAGAAAGTCAATGTGGTCCTTTTCTTTGGTCTTGAAGGCCTCAGCGATGATCCGGGCGGCATCCTTGTGCTCCCGACCCCTTAGGGAAATGCCGTTGACCTCCAGGATGATGTGACCCACCTTCAGCTGGCCGCAGTTATGAGCTGAGCCTCCTTTCTGTCAACAGGGACATGAAGGGAAGGAAAGGAGGGAGGCAGAGAGTAATTTGAAATATTTAGGAAGATAGCTCCATCCAGTGACAGTTGAGTGATTAGTCAATAGAAAGCCTGTGTGCCTTTTATACTTACTTATATTACAAGGCAACCTGTCCACAGTTTGACACCAACTAGGAATGCAGGTTTTCCAGTGATTTTAAAGTTATAACTCCCCAGGAAAATTTCATTATTCCCCTTTGCTCTTGTAGGTTTACTGTAGTTGTAATATGAGAGATATCAACTGTACTTCTTGACAAAGCCATAGTCACCACTGAAGACACTGAGGACATGTCCTTGGTATTGTCTTGTGGGAAAGAAACAGGATTTGGGGGTAATAAAATAGATGTGCCCCTGGTCAAAGGGTTGAGTTTTATGATAGGAAGAGCCAGGGGGAAGGCACAGATGGAAGGACCATTTGGTGAGAGAGACCTGGATTTACAGGAGTAACATTTGCAAAGACACACAGGGGGTTTTATTGTTTGTGATGTAATGAGATGTACTGAAATGTATATAAGGGAGAGCATTTTGGAAGTCGGGAGAGAACATCCACGGCGTGACCTTCTCTCCATGCTGCATGAATTAAAGTGACTTGATTATCACACCGGCTTGAAAGTTCTTCAGAGACTTAGCACCTCTCAACTTTGGGAAGAATTTCCACGACAGTCTACAGGAATTTTCCTCTTTAAAGGCACACTATGCAAGATTTTTACCTTAATATAACAGCTTCGAAGTCATTTCGATGGTAAACGAACTCATAGTACAGCAAATCATCCCGATAGCAACGCAGGAGAGGGACGCCGTTAGCAGAACCAGCAATGCAAGTCTGATTGCTTTACGGCGCGACGTCACATACATCAGCGACATAAGAAGCAGCCTCAATGGAAGACACTAGCAGGCATTCACTCAGACGTTACCTGGTCAGTAGACATCTTTGGAGTCTATCTTTGCCTGTTCAATGTCCGACGCTTCCATCCTACTGAACATGTACCGGTATACAGGGGGAGGGGATCAGGCCGTGAGGGCAGAGACGCAGAGCCATATATAGAGACGGCTCTGGTGAGTGGTATTTACAACAGTTAACTTTAAATACAAGTACTCCGCAGCGACTCTAGGGGTAGCTGTTTGACAAAACCGGAAAACTGCATAGTATGCCTTTAACATCCTGAGGAGTTTACATTCTACAATTTTTAGAAAAGAAGAGATTTAGTAGTGTTGGGACCACTAGGACATTTTTGACATCAGTACAGGTAGCTGTGTTTTTTACTGAGGTTTCATTGTTGTGATCTTGTTAGGGTGTTAGTGACCCCAGTTTTAAGTCAGATCAACACATGATGTTTTAATTGTATGCTCCACACAGACACAGTCTTTGCATGCAACTAACTAACTGTCTTTAAGCATGATTAATCTAAAACCACACACATACTATATACAGCTCGATTTAGACGAAACTCGAAACTCAAAAGTCCTGCTTACGTCTTTCTTTCTTTGTCTCTCTGTGTTTCATGCTCTCTGCTGAACATATCAGAACAAGGAAAAAGACCCATTCTTTATGGCACACAACCACACATGCGCACCCTCACACACACAATCACAAGTCTTTAGTTGAGTATATGTAGTTGGTTTATCTTTTGTATTTTACTTTAAGTTGGTGCCCACAGATACTTAATATTAATTAAAGTAATTTTTTATTGTGTTTGATAATTGATCATTTTAAAAAATGTAACTGATTACACCTTTAATTGGTGCCCTTTAAACCACTGTTATCCCCAGCAGTAGCTGCAGTATTGGCATTGTGTGAGAGGGCATTAAAACGACATTTAAACTATTGTGTGTGGACCTAAAATAGTTTATACATAAATCACAACAAAACTCCAAGGCACTCTCTTTTAAACAACTGAAATGCCTTTATTGTCACGGCATGGTCAAATTCAGATGCGTTTCAGCATCAAGCCTTCTTCAGGGAGTCAAATGACGAACGCCTGATGCTGAAATGTGTTGGAATTTTAGCTCATCATTGTTTTGGTTTCACTGCCCTGCAGGTTCCGCTTTCATCGATCTTGGTTTAAGTGAAAAAGCTATTAGAAACCGGCTGCACACTACCTGTCAGGCAGACAGACTACTAGCTGGTGGAGAACGTCTGAAAAAGAGCAGAAGTTGGTGGAGACTAAACCAGAATTACAGGCAGAGTGAATAGTGGACTTATTTATCAGATGGACACAACCATTACAGCAAATGAATGCTATTGTTGCTCTGTGTCTGCTGGATGTGTGGATTGTTTGCTAATACATTCAAAATTGAAACTTAATAAGTTGATAATTGTTTGGTGTTTGGGTTTTTAGCTGGCACCACTGCCCCCAAAGGGCTAGTACAAATCAATGGATGCAGCTTTTAAATACGGGAAACGTCAGTACACAATCAGTCCTTCCTACTTGAAAATGATGTTTTCTTCCATTCCTGTACTTCAGCTGAATTTAGAAAGTCATCAAGTTTAGAGTGTGCTGCTTTCATACTTGACATTTACAAAGATCACTCAGCTGCTGAAGAAAGTAAAGGATCTAAGCCGATGACTGAGAGTCATTTGTCAGTGTTACATGACCATTTATTCAACTAGGCAGTCTAACAGAGCCACGGGGTTAATCCATCCATCCATTCCTTGATCCTTCCTGCGCTCAGGACAAACAGGACAACTGCCAGAATTGCCTGATTAAATTTAACCTCAGCGTTAAACATGTTTATTTGCTGTGACATTCAATTACAAAGTAGCAGCTGAAAACATCACTGCGGGGCATACCGGCCAATAATAATGAATTTTGATTTTGCAGACAGGCCAAGAAACTCTGAGGAGGGTAATGAATCAGACACACTCTGTGCTGCTTCTACAGCCATCACTAATACGCCTATGAGCAAGGCATTAACCCCAAGCTGCTTCAAGCTTGAAGCTCCCAGTGGCCCAGAGGACAAGATTCCCTCAAGGCTCCCTGAAGCCTGTAATGCTTTAAAAGGTTTCAAGCAAGCCAGAAGGCAACACTGGTGTTACTGGTGAACAGCTCCAGTTCAGTAAAGCTAATACTTGAAAAAAAAAAAAAAAACATATTTTAAAGGAATGAAAGAAAAAGAAAGATTGGTCAACTCTTGTAAGTGCAGGAAACTGAAGCAAATTCTGATGCTAAACACAGCAACAGCATCTTATATGGTACATCTTTCAAAGTCCTTAATAAACTTCATTCCATCCAGAACTCGGCTGCTCGCCTGCTCACCCATACCCACTCCCTTGACCACATCACCCCTGTCCTACAGAACCTCCACTGGCTCCCTGTCCAACAACGGATCCAATTAATGTCCTTCTCCTCACTCACAAAGCCCTCCACAACCAGGCCCCCTCCTACCTTGCAGACCTGCTCCATCGCCACACTCCTTCCCGAAGCCTCTTCTGATGCCAACCTCCTGTCTCCACCACTGAGGACCAAGCATGGTACCTGGGGTGACAGGGCTTTTTCCATAGCTGCCCCCTCCCTCTGGAACTCTCCCCAAACAAATCCGAGACTGTACTGATCCATCCAAGTATTTTTTGGGGCTTTTATTGCCTTTATGATAGTGACAGCTGAAGACAGACACGTAAGGGGGGCAATGATAGGGGGGATGACACGTAGCAAAGGGCCGCAGGTTGGATTCGATTAATTCATTTTTGAGTGTTGTAAATATAGCTATAATTTCTTAGTGTGTTGTTTTTATTACCTTTTTTCTTTTCCTTTTAACTTATGTGGAGTGTCTTTGAGTTTCTTGAAAAGCATTCTATAAATTAAATGTATTATTATTATTATTTCCAAACAGAGCCATTGTTGACAGTTTTTAGTCAAGCATCAAATCACCTGTCAATGCTGAGGTTGTTTCTGAAGGTGGACAGAACTGACCAGCTGCTCTAACCAAGCAAAACCAACAACCGTAATCACATATCATGAACAAGGTTCAAGCATGAATATTATCTGTTCTCATACTTAAAATAAACAACAGGCTCAGAATTTTAGTTACTGAAGCAAGCATAAAGTAGCTTCCCCTCTGTGGGGGTGAAACATCTGAGTGTGTGGGTCGGGTTATGTATATTGATATTGATTGACAGCTAAGCCATGGGCACAAAGACGCGCTAAAAGAGCAAATGGTGAACTGAACAGATCCATTTTCAACTAACGAACATGAACTTGAGCGTCTTTAACTCTGTGAAAGTTAACAGCACTCATAAACTGTGCTTTAGAACTGGTCATTCAGAAGCAACCAGTACCACAGGAGCTAGCTCACATTTGTGTACTATGAACCTGAACTAGTTTAATATCTGTTTGAACTGAACTTCGAACAATCTCTTCTGAAGTGTGAACTTGCACTACACTGACAGACTCAGCTAGAAAGGCAACTCTAGCAATGAGCTACTGTACTGTAGAGCCCGACCACCGCTGGGTTTTTGAGACCGATACCGATTTTAGAGGGAAAAAATTCACAGGTTAGCAATATGACAGGCTGATCCTGCATAGCATATTAATTTATGAGCTGGAATGAAAACATACCTGAACATAGCCTTTTAACGTTGTCTTGTTTTTATGTATTTCTTTCTTTACGTAAGTTATTTGTTGTTGACTACACAATTCTGTGTGCTTCATTAATACTTTGGAATATTGTTGAATTGAATTCCTGTCAAGGGTCAAGCCAGAAATTACAATGTGTACGTAGTCTGCTGAATATTTACTCAACAGATATATATATATATATATATATATATATATATATATATATACATATCGGGTTCTGTTTGCATTGATTCTGATACTGCACTGTAATGTGTTAATGAATGTTAAAATATAAAGAATATGTAAGCACCGGGCATCGTATTTTACAGAGCAGGCCAGTAAAAACATGCAACTTCATTTCTGTTGAGGTGTGTGTATGTATTATAAGGGTCCTCGCCTCCAAGCCAATACAATATCCTGTCTGCCAACTATTTCAACTTCTCTGTCAACCTAGCTTGTTTTAATTTGGCTGAAAAGAGAGAAACCAATTTAGATCAAATCACACACTTTAGTCTCCACAACACCAAGTGAGTCCAATGACTGTGTGCAACCATTCAGAACAGAGCAAAGTGTGCTCATTAGATTACAGCCCCTTGATATGATAGGAATATGATTGGCTAAATGTGCATATGTTCATATGCAGTGTCACGCTGTGTTTGACTAAGTGACTGTGATCATCAACATGCTGACTGACATTCAATGTCATCCACTGTCCTGAGATTCACAGAGACGGGTGAACAGAGTCATTGTTATGGAAATCACCGCACAGCCACGAAAACTCCTCAAGGATGCCCTGCACATAAAAGAAAGTGGGGTAGGGAGGGAGGGGGATTGGGTACTGCTGAGGTGACTGAGGCTATAACTCATTCAGTGATTAGTTGTTGTTATCGCCTCACCCTCAGCCCATATAAACACTTCTGTTATGGAAATTCACCGCTTTGCTTTCTTTGTACATTGTTGGACATAACAAAATGTGAAAGGTGTCCAAGAGAAATATCAGCTAGAGGACTTGTATTTGCAGATTGCTTTAAAATGCTGTCTGTGCAAAACAAATGCAAGCTAATAATAAGATGCTGAAGGAAGACAGAGTTTCTATTAAAGCAGAAAGGGAAATATTAATGCACTGGAGGGAATGTTCTCACTGCATAATTTAAAATTCATGTCATGTGCAGTCATTTTTAAAGAAAAGATACTGAACATTGGCACAAAACAATGCCTTTGAACTAGAAACCTGTAAAACCCTATCGTATAGCTGTCTCACCTGAATGGTGACTATGCGTGGCAGAGGTTGCCTTGTGTTGGCTCCCCCCTCTATAGCGATGCCAAGAGTGTTGGCATTTTTCACCACTCGTACCAGGGTCGCAGTAGGCGCTGGGACCGGTGAGCCAGTCTGCTGGGACACAAAGTGAAGAGGTATTAGGCAGCAAGTGAACATTTTGTCCTCAAAGTTGATGTAAGAAGCAGAAAAAATGGGCAGTGTGAGGATTTGAGCGACTGACCAAGGGCCACATTGTGATGGCTAGACGACTGGGTCAGAGCATCTCCAAACCTGCAGCTCTTGTGGGGTGTTCCTGGTTTGCAGTGGTCAGTACGTCGAACCACAAGGGCCAGCTATTGCTACCCACGTGCATCAATGAGCCTTGGCTGCCTAACAGACGAGCTACTGTAATATATATATATATATATGTATGTATATATGTGTATATATTTTTATATATATATATACAAGCCTAGCACATAGCATATCTGTCATATTATACAAATATTCTATATTGTATATGTAATGTTTTAGTAAGTCCAGACTCTGGCTCTGATTGGCTATCACTCATTGCCTATAGATAGATAGATAGATAGATAGATAGATAGATAGATAGATAGATAGATAGATAGATAGATAGATAGATAGATAGATAGATAGATAGATAGATAGATAGATAGATAGATTAAAAAAAGAAATTCAAGTGGTTGGTTGGTTAGGTTTATGCATAAGGAGTGAGACAGGTCTATTCCATACAGGAAAGGAGAAAGTTTACAGAGGTTCTGACCGAAGCTTGCTCAACTGTTATTGCAGAACAGAGCAAACGGGTGGGAATTAGGAAGGGTCAAATGAGAGAAAGGTTTAACTTTATGTTGTCCCCATTGCAGCATTTTGTAGATCTAGATCAGACATGCAAACCATACATGTGTACAACTAAGTGCAACACCACTGATGCCTGTGAGTACAAATTGTCCCCATTTGTAAAATTCATTGTGCCTTACTACTCTCTATGACAGCAGGCTCTCATTCAGTACAGGTATAAACACTTTTGCGCTCTGGTTTGGTAGAATGAAACTTTGTACAAACCGGTTTGTACCCTTATTACAGTTTAATCATGAAAGAAATTGGGTTTATATTGGTGTCAAATTCTTCACATATTGTCTTATGTTAATGTGATTCTTTTCACAATCTTCTTGTATGCAAATGAGCTGAGACAGAGTGTACTTCATTTTTCTCTTGTTTGTTTCTTCATCTGTTCGTCTGATTGGTCTGCTGCCATACAGTGTTGTGCTCAATTGTTTCATCATTGTGAGACAGCACATAATCTGGCGCTGTATAATTAATTACACTGTTGTTTCTGCAGTGCTTTTGTTTATCTCTAACAAGTTGTGTTTGCATACTTAGAAGTAGTGATTCAGAGAGCTGAAACCACAAACAAGTAACTGGTTTTAAAATTAGTCACTTTTTTACAAGCAACATGGTGAATCTCGACTTGATGAAGTGGTTATTTCTGTCAGTGTGAAGCCCTCACTTGTCTGGTAGCCCCTGGAGGAGGTGCGTGGGCCCCTGCCTGTTCCAGATGGCTCTGCTGGTTCTTGCTAGGTCGAGGGCTGCCGTCCTTACTTAGGCCTCCTGCCTCGGCTATATCCACCCCACTGTCCTCACTCAGAGTCTGGCCACTGTCTGACAGCTGGGACAGGGTGGCTCCTGGATGGGACACTGGAATGTTAGTGTACAAAGAGACAATGCAAACAGCAACAAGGGTATCATCTGTTCTTGGATAGTGGCCTATGATATCACATATCTATTAAAAACATACAGTATATTTTTGTATAATCTCTATGTCTACGACATCCCAATATATACAGCGAAGTGAATATTGTAGAACTTACAGGTAGCTACACACAACTGGATTTCTTGTATTTAGCTTTTTTATTGTAATTTCTCTATTTAATTTCTTATTTACACAGAATAATAGGCAACACATAATCCAAAAAAGCAGCAAACTAGGATGCTATGGAATGTAAAAAAAAAAGTTTATTTTCTAAACTAACACCGGCAGGAAATATTAGAAAGGACGTCTTTTCTGATATTTTCTGCCATGCTTGAGATTTTTTGCTTAGGTCTTATTAAGATCAGAGAGTTACATTACACAAATAATTCAGAGATTAATAACAATTTGCATTCCCTTATTCACCTCTACAGTAAAATTGTCGCAGCCATAACTTCAGAATCAGAATTCCATTGTTTGTGTTTAAGTCAAGTTAAATTTAGTTTAACTTTGGTGGCAAAACCTGGCAAAAATGTAAAGGTCCAGTGTGTAACATTTAAGATAATCTACTGTCAGAAATGTAATATTATATTCATAGGTATGTTTTCATTAATGCATAATCACTTGACTATAGGAATCACTGGATTTTCATTACCTTAGAATGAGAATGAGCTTCACAGCCACTGTAGTTTCTCCTCATTCCCAGGTCATCAAATACAGACGCGAGCGTTGTTCAGTTAATTGCAAACTGCAACTTCACCGCTAGATGACACTAAATCCTACACACTGGTCCTTTAATGTATTAAGCACCACTATAACTAATGCAGCTGCATTGTCCATTGGAAACAATGGCCTTACTCTGCGCAATGTCAGACGTGCACTTTTGGTTAAATAAACAGCAAAATGACAAAAAAAACATTTCCTGATAAGCTTTTAATGTGAAACATCTGCAGGCAGTGTTGAGTTTTAATAAAACTAATTTAACATCGATTTAAAGACGGCAACTTGGAAGTTTGGATTCAATTTATTAATGATATTATTTGTAGGTATAAGTAAGTACACATCGCTCTATGTTTTCTGCACTGTGTATAAGTAATACCCCCCCCCCATTATTATTTAACATTTTGAGACCTTAAACATGGGCTTTTATCTGAGAATTCATACCAGCAGTACATCAATAACACAGCTGCCAGATGGAACATTTATTTCCCATATGGCAATGCTGTTCTGGGTATTGGTAACAAATTATGATAATAGAAATTATAATATATAATATTTTGCCTACATACATGAGATGTATTTCTGCACAGGGAGACAACACACACAGTCATGGACGGTGTACCTCTCTGCTGTGGTCTGGAGTCTGCAGACAGACGGTTCATGTCTGTTATGATGACTTTCTGGGCGAGAGCAGGTGAGCAGGGCCGGTCAGGACTACAAGGTGGAGCAGCAGGTGTAATGAGAGAGGGGCAGGGGGAGGGGCATGGTGAGGGACGGGGTGATGGATGAGGGGATGCCATTGGAGATGCTGCTTTGGAGGAGGACGCAGACTTTGACAAGATGGAGGACTTCTCATATGAGCTGGATCGGGAAGAGAGCTTGACAGACGCTTCTGGCTTAGCCGAGCTGGACGAGTCCCGGTGGTGCAGGAAGCCTGGGCAGGTGTGGTGTCCTGAACTGGGCCGGCTGTGGTGAGCAGCGTGGTGGTGGAAATGATGTGCAAAATGGGGGTGGTTGTGGTGTTCAGAGTCAGAGAGCTGGAGGGAACTCTGGCAGGTGTGATGGAGTGCATTGAGGGACGTGTGGTGGCTGGCACTAGTGCAAGTGTGGTGGGCTGAGGCTGGTGAGGGCTGGTGGATGGTGGGGAGGGATTTGAGTGACTTGTTGAGGCAGTCCTGGAGAAGCCGGGTGGGGCCAGTGAAGAGCAGGCTGGAGCCAGGCTGCACCAGCCGCGCTGAGGGCTTCCGGTTGAGCTCTTTCTCCCTGGACGGCCTGCTCTGAGCAGCCCTGAAGGGTGGAGGAGATTCACCTGAAGCCTGCATTTCACCCTGCCAACGAAAAAGAATGCAATAGTATATGAACCGTATGAATGGTGCTGCTCCTCTCTCTGAGGGGTATTCATTGGTCGCAATCTGCAACTTCACTGCTAGATGACACTTAACCCTACACACTGGTAATTTAAGTTATAATCCTTCAGATTTCAAATTAAAAGCTGTCTTTTCAAATGAAAAGCCCTCTAGCATTTCATATACTCTCATTTCTTAGAGTGAGATCAGAAGCAAGTAGCTTGTTGGTGATGGGGACAAAATTATAAAAAACTACCAGTTGCATGCACCAATACTCACAAACATGATTTTGGGTTTACGAGGCCAAAGGAAGGTTAGACATTGTTAGTTATTTTGGTCAATTTGTCCACTGACCTCACACTGGTTCAGAACAACCTTGACCTCTTGTCTGCTGCTACCATGAAATTGCATTTCCTAAATCTACAAGCTAAACGTTTTAACCACCAGACCCTGCATCATCAAAACAAAACAAAAAATCTATGTCAACATTCACAATTTAAGATTGCAGTAAAATTCACAAAGCACATCTATGCTCCCCAAAGGATGAACTCTGTCAATTAGCTCCACTCCATTAGCTCTCATCTGCTGCCTCCCTCTGGCTTAAAAGTTACAACTGATATCTAATGAATTCATAGTCAAATTGCCATGAAATGTGCCGAGCAGAGCCATGCTCCTAAGGGGATAAAATCTCGATTTTAATGACTATGGCCTTACTTAGTCACCCTCAGTGCAGGCTTCACATTTTAGCCCCAGTGCAGTGTTCATAATCCTACACTACACTAACGGGGGTTTCAACTTTAAGTCTTGTTATGTTAATCTAATCTGTCCTCTGGAAATATAGGCGCACTTCTATCTCCATTTTTAAACCAAATCTGATGCCCGAGGTATGTGGTGTTAAAATGGACAAACACGGAAACCCATTCAAAGCTGTTTTTCTTGCATATGAATCTGTTTTATAGCAGATGAAATTAAGAATGACACATACCAGTGCAATGTTTTGTAAGGCATTAGTGTTCTCCTCCTGGTATTTTTCTGTCCAAGCACTAACAGAGCCATCGGTCTGAAAGAAACAATATGAAGCATTGTAGTACTGCAGGGATAAATCTGTAATAGAAACTTGCTATAGTTTCATTTAGCCTACTTAATGCAGATGCCAGATGGATGGGATCTGCCCCACAGGACAATATAATGAGAACAAGAAAGTTTAGACAGTTATCACAAAGTGTTTTTTTTTCTGGAACGGCTGAATCATCTGAGGCCGTTTGAGGCTGGAGGCTTTATTGTGTCATTGCTACAGAGCAGTGATTCTCAAAGCGGAATTCAGGGAGCCCCAAGAAACCTTAAAGAGGGTCCAGTTCAAAAATACCTTTTCTGTTTCTGTGCGCAAATTAGCCCAGGGAAAGAATGTGTTATAATAATATAATTATAATATATAATAATAATAAAACTATTAGTTATATAGCTGACAACAAATAAAATACACAGATCAATTTTAAGCAACGAAAGATGAAAACAGAAAAATAAATAAATAAATCTTTAAAAAAAAGGAAAAACAAACTCTTTTTGTTTCAGACTGAATAAAATCATTTTGACATCTCGCAGCAGGAGAAGCACTGGTGTAAATAATAAGCTGACTAATGGTTGAATTCCACTTAGCTGCTTCAGGCCCCCCTGGCTCACTGTCATGGCTTGGGACACTTCAATAGAACGGAGCTGTTGTTTATGCTATCAGTAACGCCTGTGCTTTTCCTACAATGACAAATCAAAATGTCTGCTGGGAAAATGAGTGTGAAGTGGACTGAGACCTATTTTTAATTTTGCAGACAATGATTCATCCTAATAATTTCTAATGCAAAGTGAAATGCACTTTTTTATTTTTCATGGTCATTTTTATTTTAAAATTATTTGAACATGTATACCATCATTTTCTATCTATTTAGTTGTATTATGTCTTTAAGCTTCAGTATAAAGGGCTCTAGCTCTTCATGCACATCTCCAAATAACCCCCCCCCACACACACACACACACACTTTTGGCATGCTCCCACTTTTTCTAGCTATGTTAATTACAATCGGCTAGTCGAAATAAGTATCTTGCAGCCAACCTGCATAGAAATATCTGGTGACAATGGTGTGTCAAAACGTGTTGTTGCCACAATGAATCTTACTGTTTCTTACTGAGTAACTAATTGACTGTCAATTAAATGCAATTAGCTTTTTATCGAGGGGTTCTAATTTCACAACCACAATAATGAGTGTGTCAGCACAGGCAATTACACAGACCTATGGTGTGCTGCGGCAAACACCCTCGCCAGCAAGCTTTTAATAGCAGCACGAACAGCTCACCATGACAAGACAAATGCACCAAAAGCACTTGTGGGCTCAAAGAGTTTGGTCAGGCAGCGGGCTGAATCATGAAGCAGAGGAGACTAATCCAGGCTTTGTTCTAAAACCAAACAGTGTTGTCAGATCAAGCTGATCTGTTGGGTCTTTTACAGACCAGACTGCTGTAGGAAGTGGATCAGATATAGGCTATAACCTGGCAGAATGAGGTCACTGTGGATTGATGTGGGCCACAGTGAAACATCAATACTACATAGTCGCTGACCTGCTACAAAGACGAGCTGCTCTGTGTCAAAGACAGATGCCAGGAAGCTGAGACTGAAGGAAAGGGAAAAAAATGTGATGTGCAGTGCCACACACACATGCACTCTTTCTGTGGTCTACGTGGATTTTGAATAGATAGAAAATAATGCAGTGCCAAATAAGAAAAAGGCTGTCAGAGTGACTGTGTCCATGTGCTACACCAAGCAGCAACCTCCTGGGCTGAAAAATGAAGCCATCACAAAAATGCCAAAAGCTGCAGTTCCTCAAACAGCAACTTGAGGCTGGCTCCAGCAGGGAATCAGTCTCCATAAGGCCCCATATTAAAATGCCTAACTTAACAGCAGAAATAAACATGTTTACAGCCTGGTACAGAAAATTGCCTACTTACCAAACTAATGATGGTCAGATGAACAATCATTGTAACTTTCGTAACAAATTTTACACAAGTAAAATGTTCACTTTAAAATCCTATGGAAACATCAGAGGTACACCACTGGTAAAATACCAGAGGGTTTCCCAAGAGAACACTGTTCCCACCGGGGATGACATTGAATGCTGATTGGGTATTAGCTTGATATCGACAAAATATTATAAATTAAAACAATTCATTATCTTGCCTGAAAAAAGATCACATTTTTATTTGGTGACCCTGTAAAAGTTGAAATACCTGCTGGGTCAGCTCCCAAAGTACCCTCGATAAAACTGCGGAGCCAGAACTCTTTTAGGCATTTGGACTAAATTTGTACTTTGAATTGGAACAGCACAGGGCTTTGACTGATGATGTTTCAGAAGTTCACAAGAACACAAGTACAAACAAAACCACAGACTGAGAAAGGCGTCATTTGTTTAACAAATTAGTTAAGTTGTGTGGTATGTTTCAAATGAACAACAGACTGCTTTTCACCTGCTTTATCTAATCACATCAGTCCACAATCAGAGGTGCGGTCTATTTTGTTAATGGCTAATGAAATTAGCAAGCAGCAGTTTGTGCCAGCCAGCTGGCTTAGCTTGTAAATTATATTCAGCTTGTAGTAAATCATTTTAAATCAACATTTTTGTTGTCAGATGATTTGGTAAGCAGCCATGCAATAAGAAGGTGGTCATTAGTACAAAATAACCTTGAGAAAGTTTAAAATTCCAGAATGAGAGTTGTCCCGTCAGTGCTTATCATGCACTATTGTGACTTATTTATATTAAAACACATTAAAAGTGGAACAAGTTAAGAAAATAGAAGAATTATACCACACAATATTTCAATGGATGTCGCATTTTCAGGTATGCTAGGTAAGGGATCTACCGTAGCAGGGACGGTGTGTCCTGTGTCATGGATCACAGGGGTTGCATGGTTGCAGTGGCCCTGTGGATGCAGCACTCCCAGGCCTCCATGCCAGGCTTGGTGGGCCTCCCTCTCACGGTGCAACACCAGTCTGTCGTACAACTCAAGATCCTGGGGAGCTACCAGACTCCTCACCTCAGACAACATGGACAACTAGAGGGTGAGAGAAGAGAAAATAAAACTGGCATAAGAGCATGCACAAGGGAAAAAGCTGAAAATTACAGAGGTCAGGCTAGGCTGTTTAAATGTTACTATGTGTAGGATTTTTATATGATTACTACATCTTTCTAATGATTCAAATCCTACACATTTTGTCTTAGGTTAAATAAGCCCACACAATGTAATTAGCCAGGTTATGTTGGGTCTTAAATGTAAGTAAAACAACTGAAAAATATGTCAGCAGCAATAGAAGATCAACTTGTTTGCCCTTTAAAGGTTGTTGCTTCATTTTCTGCTTGCTGACATGACTCTTAATGTTCAATAAAGTGGCACTGCATTCAAAAAGGAATTTTTAACTGTTCTACAAAATATAAGGTTTTAAGAGAGAACAAGAACCCCAATAGCTGATTTACACAAAGACACAATGGATCATAATTTCCATTTTAAAAAGGACAAAATTCATATACAGCAAATGATAAAGACTTATGTTGTAGCTGAATCCTTCCTTCTGTAGTTAATACACCTTAAAAAGTTTTGGTCCCATCTGGTTCTAAACTAACTTTATTTTACAACTCTTTAATGTAGCCACATGTTTTGTTGCCTGGTCTTCAGTCTCTTTGGGTATTAGTGCCTGAGGAGGTAGATATTGTTAACATTTGAGAATTGTCATTCTTATTTACCTGCTCATTGGGAGGAGAAAGTGTAACAAAAAACATAGCAGATTCACTTTGTAAAGAACGACGTAGGGTGTATAAAAAAGATAAAGTATTTTATGTACATTAAATTCCATGCATTTTTTACTTTGTAAAAATGCAAAAAAATGTAACTGAACTTGAACATTAATATTAAAATCTTGTCATATATCAGATAGCTCCCATGTGTTCAGCAGCTTAATGACTTTTAGGCTTGTCTCACTGACATATGTGGCAACCGATAAAACACAGCTCATAGTTAATGTTCCTCCTGTTTTGATGCACACAAAGGTCTTAAATGTATAAAACCACAAATGTATTTGAACAGCAATAATCAAGAGCCATGATGAAATGTTGCAACATAAGAAATAGAAGCATCAAGTATGAATTACAAGCACTGCTATTTGCTTGTACATCTGTGGCTGACACAGTTTGGCACCATGAGACTGAGAACGTATTATAATTCCTGCAATATCTGGCAACCAATGCAGTGATCAAAGGCTGAGCGCAGAAGCAGATTGTTCTGTTTTTCTGTCCATCATCATAAGCTATTGCGGGATGACAGCTGTACTGTAGTAGGTTTACAATGTCTTCCTTAATGTACCTGCACCCAGGAAGTGGACATTGATTGCTAGATGATTCTGGGATCAAGAAAGGGCCCAAAAAATTCTAAACTGCCCACATGTCACTGAATGTGTCATCATGTAAAAAGAAAGTCACTAGGAATGATTGCAAATCCTTGCTCACTGACTTTATAGTTGCCTATTCAAGATTCAGTTGTCAGATTCAAAATTCAAGTAAATTTAGCATTGCACACATAGTTTGACTTTCATGTTCCCTGCTTTGAATCTGTGCTCAGATTTCTCACTTATTATTAACCCATTATGTGCACATATAAATGTTAAGTCTTTGATAAAGGGTTTTTACAGTAATCCATCCAGACTGCAGTTGTAAATGTTAATAAGCTGTTTATAAATTGCAGGTGTTCTTAAGTTCTTTTCCTGGAAGCATGTGGAACGGTCCAAGTGTCATGCTTGGAGAATGGTTTCCCACAACACAGCAACTCAAAAATTGTGCTTATTAATGCCTTATAATAAGAATGATTGGAAAGGCTTTAGGCAGATTCTTACACATGATTTGGTAATGCCCTATTGGTGCCACATTTAGGAAAACATATAGGTTTGCCTATTCTGTTAGCACCTAATCTTTGTCTGCTTGGAGACAGAACACAATTACTTTGTATATTAGATTCCCAAATGTTTTTTAAATTGGGAGGCATCATTACACCTGTCAGAATTAATTTACGCCACTGGAAAAACACAACTGCTTCACAAACAAATTGCAGACCCTGCCTCCTATGAATGCATGGTAGCGTTCTTTAGTTGTTAATTTCTTGTGTTAACACGGAGCTTTCTTGGTAATTTGTTTTGGACCCGTATGAATTTAATGGCTGTATGGGAATATTAACTTTGCATTGATCTGATCTTCTCCTTGAAAAAATCTAAAATCTATAAAATATTATATTATAATTAATGGCTTATAATTGATCTATAAAATAAAAAATGTTATTACCCATTAATAAAGCCATTATTTACAGCTTATAAACACTTTATAAAGGGTGCCTTATTAGAAAGCGGTATCCGAACCTTTATGTACAAAATTCCACACATCTGAGTCACCGTCCACATCTCTGGATAGGTGTTCTACCTTTGCATGTGTGTTGAAGAGCTCAAACAGAGCCATGGCCAGCGGCTCCACTCCTATGTGTCCCTCCTGGTACTCCTGCAGGTAGTAGGCCATGGTCTGCCTCTCTGGCTCTGTCAACAGCATGTAGGCCTGCTGCTCCAGAGACACCTGCGCACCTGGCGGGCCCACACCTCTATATGCTGCCGGCTAGACAGACAGATAGGTCGACGCATGGGGGAAGATGAATGGAAAAATGAAGAGAGAGGAAAAGAGGGTCACACACAGATAGGATGAGAGTTATCTAACTCTACAAGCCCAGTAGCATGCAGATAGAAAGTCTTCAGTTGTGTGCAGACTTTACACCCCCCCACCACCACCATCCTCCTGTACACACATACAGTGGCTGAGCTTATCACACTCTGGGAAAGGCACCACTTCAAAGCTACAGGGCGAGACAGTCAGAACTTGTTTGCCTTTAAGACTCCATCAGTGTTATCTTCATAAGCAGCTCGTCTTGGAAACAGCTCTTCTCACTGTTGGTAGATTGACTGAGTTTCAGCGAGGTCTCGTGGCTTCACGCCGACTATGAAAACCTTTGTATGGAATAAAGAGAATAAACAGGAGCCTGCAAGCATGGGAAATACTGCTGGGAAAGATTTTCCTTCCCACAGAGCTTCAGCTGTGAATGGGACAAAATAAATAAATAAATAGTTTATTAGTGGAAATGGAATGTTTAAAAGCCCTGCATGGCGTGCCTCAACGTTGAGACTGCTTTGTGATGATGAACCTCAAATTAAACACAACATAATAAATGAGACTTGCAAAAGGCCATTAATGAGAAAGCCTCTGTGCCTGATGTTAAAATATATGCATAAATGAAGGCTGGGATGCTTAGATGTAGCCCGAGAGAAAGAAAGGACAGAGACAGAAACAAATGAGCACAATACGGGGATGAGGAGAAGCTCTTGTTTGAATTTGTTGGATTGGAAAATCAATACTTCATGAAAGTTTGTGGATTGAATTTGACCTTGAGCCTCCCTCGGTCAAGTTACAAGATTGACTTATGTGTGTTGACATGATAAAGAAGGAAAAGATCACTTTAAAGCCCGGGGTTAAAAGGAATAAACACTCGGGTCTCAGACAGAGACCCACTCTGAGCTATGATTGTACCTGATGTGAGGGTCCGGTGCCAGGGCACAAATTGAATGAAGTCAACTCAATCAATTGAAATGTGATTCCTCAAGACAACAAGGACACAGTGTATCCAAAGCCATTGTGTCACCATGTAGTGCAAAAATCCACCGGTGCAAAAAGCATTCAGCCTGTGTTAAATGTCCAGTGTGTAACATTCAGGAGGATCTATTGTCAGAAATGGAATATAGTATTCATAGATATGTTTTCATTAGTGTATAATCACCTGAATATAAGAATCATTGTGTTTTTGTTACATAAGAATGAGCTGTTTTTATCTACAGAGGGAGTGGGTCCTCTTGGGAGGGGGCCATCATGTTGAACAGCCATGTTTCTACAGTAGCCCAGAATGGACAAACCAAACACTGACTCTAGATAGGGACTTTCAAGTTTCCTGAGAGTTTCACCACCAATGTACTTTCTCTTGCACACTTGGTTGAGTCTGGGGGTTGTAGTTGGTTGCAATGTGCAATCTTACCGCTTAATGAAATTAAATCCTACACACTGGTTCTTTAAAACATTAATGGGATCAAAAAACGAATAACTGTTGTATTAAAAGTAAGAAGGTGGAGGAAATTTTGCCATCAGTGGTCGAAATGTTTCCAGCCTTCCAGCCTTGTTTGATGTATTGTATCCTTACTGACCTCTATATGAGCAATCTAAACAACTGTATCAGCTTAGCCTAACTGATGTTACATTCAAAGCTCCCAGTGTATACTAATCAACAGAAAGGACACAGACTACAGGCTGCAAGTCCTCCAAACTAAAGGACACAACACACTGTTTGTGACTGCTTTTAAAGTCCCATTGAAATGACAGCTGTGATAGCTTTCTGTGCTGTGACTTATGTCAGAGATAAGCGAAACATGCAGGAAACGTGTCAGTTCAAGGGGATTTGATCAGATCTTGCAGGGTTTTGATTGGTTTGCTAAAAAAGTGGCAGTCTCTGGAGAATGCAGAGTGATACAGAGCTTTAAACTGTTGGCCTCCACCCACACCTCCCTTACGTGTGTTGTTAAAACATGAGGAGGAGGATGGAGAATTTAATAGATTAGAGCTCAACCACATGCTTTTGAAATGTAATGTTTTTCCTAACTGGCATCCAAACACAAACCTCTGATCCATGACATTACTGTGCAGTCTTAGAGGAAGTATCTAGATCCACACTGTAAAAATTACAAATAATATGCCCTTGAGTGTGTTCTAAATGTGTCTTCACTGTCACTGAAATATCATATTATTATAGTATAGAACATGACCAGCTGATCCCACTGTGCGTCAGAACCGATCAAATTAGCACTACTACGTAAATATGAGCTGATGTTTGTGAGACTTCTATGAAAGAAAGTATTTCTTTCCAGCTCTAGCTGTCCTTAACAACTTAATGCAAAAGTTGTCAGATATTTACTAAAAGGTGACCCCAAGCAGCAGATGTCCACCTACATAATGCAATACAATCACACTTCCAATGCAGACAGGAAGTTAAAAAGAGTCGAAGACCTTTCTTGCTGCAATGCACATAAAGTCAGCAGGGCACTTCTTGCGTTGGCACTGAACTGACTGCAGTCGTGATGCGCAGAATTGTCCAATATGTATGCAATTATGGCCCACCATTAGGTGTTAGCACTAACGACAGATGCTGTTGTTTTTCTTGGGAGGAGAGTCTTGTTAAATTTAAGGTAGCACAGCACATTCTGAGGGGGAAGCTGCTTCAGATTTAGAGAAGTTGTGACTGATGGTTTTCAGCAGTTTCCCTGAGATTGTTCTGATCATCTAAACCCTGGATTATCTAGAGGAGGTGAAATAGGCACAACAACATGTTAATACACTGCACCTCTAGTCTACATAAATCAGAAACAATAGATATAAAGATTGACTGAGGAAACAAAGGCAACACAACCAGAAGGTAGGCAGAAGGATAATAAATTACTCTCTAGAGGAGCTGGCTTGCATAACAATCTTTTTTTTTTGTGAGGGAAAGAAAAATCTTATTACATTTTAAGGTCAGGGTTAAATTAATCTAAAAATATATTGACACAATGTGGATACAAAACAATTAAAAGTGGCAAGAGACCTTATAAGACGGTAACCATGGGAATATATTGTTTAACTATCCCCTTTACAGGAACAGACAGCAGACAACAGCTGATGTCTGTCTGTTTGTTCAAAAGGGTTTGCATTTTGAACAATGATAATAAAGCACATCAAACTACATCAGTGCCCCAAAGTCCCTATATCTATATTTCCAGCAGATGCTGGCAGATGAGACTGCGATCCTGACTGGGTCACTGGATGGAATTCATTTGTCCCATGAGAATCCGGCCTGAAAAAACGTAATGTGACCAAACAAATGTTGTTACAAGCACTGATACTTGGTGATCCAAATTGTGATTTTCCAATAGTCCATTGAAATATTATATTCTCTCCAGGTTCTGGACATGAAACCCTCTGAAGAGAGGAAACTATTTTGTTTTTTTGGCTACAATCAAAAGAAAAAAAGTCTGTGTTATTATTTTTAGAATAGGTAGTCTTTGTCACACACAGAATGGAACAAAAAATTAACAATAGAGCTTGTAAGCATATTATTGACCTTTGAAAAATAGTTTGACAAAATAGTCTCTTTTATATCAGGTCCCATTCATTCGCTTTTTCATCAGCAAATGGAATTTTCACAGAGCAAACTGGGAGCACACTAGTAAACTTGTGATTCTTTTGTTAAATGCTCACAATGTGTATATAATCTGTGTGGCTTTGATTTGTCTTTGTAATAAATAAGAATGAAGCTTAAAAAATAATTTGAACATGAATTAAATATGAATAATCACAAAGAAAGTGCAGTCAACAGCCAGTTTTTCAAAGCTCTAACCCCTAAAAGACCATATGGAACCCCCAGCAGTGGTGGACTCGAGGGGCAGGGGCAAGAAAGAAACATGTGCAGATATTTATGATGCATTTATGGTAAAACATCTTACTCAGGATTAGCATTAGCACCCTAGAGGGGTTTTGTCCACTGAAACTGGTGTTTTATTCCATGAAGGGACATACTAAAGGCATTTGATCCTGTTTTCTCCATCGAAAGGACACCCTGGAAGGCACTTTACTATGTTTTATCTACCATAGGGGCATTCAAGAGGGAACTTTTGCTGCGTTTTTTTTTCAAACATGGGGGCCCCCCTGACTCCACCAGTAAACATTTTGCAGGATGTGTTCAGCCTCAGCAGTTTGTGTTGCTATAAACAGTTTTGCAGACACATTCACTATACATCTTTCCTTGTAATTTTGATTTGCTGATTTGTTGTATATGAACAGTTTTAGAAGACAGGGTTTGTTAGTGTACATGTCTGAGAGAGAGAGAGAGAGAGAGAGAGAGAGAGAGAGAGAGATAATAAAAGAGAGAATTAAATAAAGTCTCTCAGATGTCCTCTAAATTATGGTGTGTCAGCAGTCATGTTCTAACCAATCACATCCCCAGAGCTGGGGCCGTAATTAATATACAGCACACTGCCTTCACTAACAAGCTGCTTTTTGATAACCATCCCCATTCTGCTCACTATGATACACGCACTGTCTTGTCCCTCAGAACCCATTCGACTTTTGGAGCAGCATCCTTTGTACACTGATCTTAATTCATGAATGGTTACCCAGCGGCGGTTGAGATGCTTGTTGGACATGTATTAAATCAACATGGCCACCCATCCGATCTTAAATTACAAAACTCATTAGGCTTGGACTGCTTGGGGCACAGAAATTGGATCCATTTCTGAAGAACAGCTGCTTAATTATAGCAGAGCCTTTCATGCAGACTGTGGTTTTCTGCACATATTAGCATGTAGCTCAGTTGTTTACAGTGTCAAAGGGGATCATTTAATAAAAGGGACAATGGGAGGGAGGCGGGGAGATGAGCAACAGGGGACATAATAGATTGATTATTACCATAATTGTTACATCATAGTGTTTGTTATTCACTGATGTGGTGTCAACATTATGTAACCCAGGCCACAAAGGGTTAATATAGA